TCTTCAGCAGTACAGTGCCCACTTCTGGGTGCTTTACTTTAAGATAGATACAGGAAGTTTGAATGGGATCCATAGGAGGGTAGTGAAGACTCTCACATTATGGATACCCCTTCCTATGAAAAATTGGTGAAGGGATTTGGCATGTTTACCCTGAAGAGGAAGACTGAAAGGGGAATGACATCACTCTTTGAACACTTTGAAGGGCTTGTTGCATCTATCCATGGTGTAGATTCTTTATTGGTTATGTGGCAAATGGCAGGTCCCATAGTTCCCTTTGTAGCTGAGAAACACTCTGTAGAGATTGTCATATAATGAGCCATAGTCTTGAGCTTGTACTCTATTAAACATTCTCCCAGTGCAAAAATCCGAGACACAAACAGTTTAGGGAGAACAATTAGCTTGTAAAATTGGTTTATCTCTTCATTATTTCTCTGTCCTAAGAAATTCCCCCAAAGTATACCCTAGTATTTAAACTGAATAATAGGCATTTATAATAATCCACCAGATGTTTAATTTGTAGTCAATATTTCCTCGCATACTTCAATCATTATTGCTAAATTATGTGGGTGCTGTATATTAAGCCATTTTCAAACCGATACATATCTTCAAAAGCATACATAAAAATGAATAAAACTATTTAAGAACTGTGACATTCTTCAAAGGATACATAAAAAGGAAGAAAACTCTGTTTAAGAACTGTGACATTAAATCATTGGTATTGTAAATGACCTACACATACAGGCAATTCTCAGCTTACACTCTGGGGATTGCACATAAAGTCTAAACCTACTGGGTTCAATGGCGGGTGGGATTGCCAAAGTCATTTTTCTCAGAACCCTGCCCACTTTCTACATATTAATTTAGTTATTTATCTGCCAAGTGCTGAACACACACAAGTTAAATGTGTGTAAGTTGTGAGTTACCTGTATATATATATATATTAGAACACAAATTACTTTATACTAACAAGTTAATGTTTAACATTGTTTGCCGCAAATTGTGATAACCGATATATTTATTTGCAGACTAACAAAGGACTCATTAGTATGACTGTGACTGTAGTCAAACCTCCTCCATATTGTGTCCACTTTTCCCTCTAATGCCATGAGGCTTGCAATTTCTTCTCAGCCTCTGATTTCATCGCTTTTTTCAATGCCAGTGTGATTTGCTCAATATATGAGGGGGTGGACTCTCAGGGCAGTGCACCATGGTCCTTCAGGCTGCTGTTGGCTATGGGCCAGGATACATTAGTACTAGGCTGTTGGGTGCTTAAGGTTACTTGAGAAACTTCAGAAGCTGAATTCTAAGGTCCATGGACTAGCTTTAGTTAAACTGACTGCTTTCTTATATTAGACATTTACTTATTCATTCATTTTGTGTATTTGTATACAATTATTCAGCCAGTGCGGCTCTCAATATAATACAAATGACTATAAAATCAATACAATACAATTTATTGCTGGTTATGCTACAAATGCAAATCATTTATAATATAACCAGCAGTAAATCAGCAGTTAAAATAGATTAAAATACAGCACTTTTTATGCCATAGACATAGAGGCTTTAAAATTGCAGCTCTTTGAACAAATTGTTGGTGTCAGGGGCCAAACCATTTGAGACATCAATTGTAATCATGGAATTAATGTGCACATTTTGTAATGTAAATAGCAGCTAAGGTGAACTGGGGAAGAATTGTCCTAATATAGAGGGAAGAACAGGCAAAATTGTAGGAATACATTTTAAAGACTTGGAACTTCTTGCTAGGTGTACATAAAAGGGTGTTGCAAAGGATTTACAAAAAAACAAACCCACAGTCATGGCTCTTGACAATTATGTCTTGAATAAGTTCCTTCAATTTACATCCCTAAGTGATTGTCAACTAGTTGGTGTTTAGTACAAGCCTTATGTTGGTGAAAACTGAATCTAGAATGTGTGGCAATTAAGGAACACAAAGAGTATCTGTCCCCTGTTGTTTTTCACCTTAGAGAAGTTTATTGGTTTTTTAATATTTTTCTCAGTCTTCTAAATGGAGATAATAAAATCTTTTCCCCCTTTTGCAAAATAACCTGGAAAAACTCAGGCAAAGTTGACAGTTTGGCGGAAAACATAATTTTCTTCTTCCTATGTGCTGCCCATTTCTATCATCCTAAATGATTTCTTGAGGACTCTATAGATAATTGCATAGTGACTTCCCCTTTTTCATTATTTCTTTCTGAGGAACTTTAATAATTTGAGGCTAAATGTATAGCCTTTGGGGGAAGCTGTGGAATGAAATGAATTAGCATAATTTTGTTTCAGTACATATTAGTTTAAGAATGGCACTTGTAATGTTGTTGAGATTACTCATTGTTTTTAATGCAGTTAGTGCATTCCTGTTATGTTTTGTACCTCACGGTTATAAAGCTTTTTGGGTGTTTTTAGGCATCTTCGCCTAACAGTTGGGGCTGTGTTTATGTTTCCTAAAACAAAATAGTTCAGAAATCTCAGTCTGAGGGGTGTACAATCAAAATAATTCCTGGATTTTCTAGAGCATTATATTCAGATATATCCTGCTTTAGTTGCCCACACCAAATTAAATGAGGCAGGTAGGCATCAGGAAGCGGGGCTTTTCTAGCAGTGGCACTATGGTTATGGAACATCCTCCCCAGTGAGTCTCTCATGGCACCAGCTTTGTGATATTTTCATCACCAAAGTCATTTCTGTTCAGCTAGGCTTCCTAAATATCTTATATATTCTGGGCCTCACAGTTTTTAAATTTGTGCTTCTGATTTTGGGGGTGTGAAGAGCTTTGTTTTTTGTTTTTATTGTTTCATGTTTTATTTCATATATTTACATTTCTATTTTTATTTTACTATTCCTTGTATACCACGCAGAGAGCTAAATGTTCTGGGGTGACATACAAATGCTGAAATCAGTTAAATAATCAAGAGTACACATTACATAATCACTCTGTTTTATAGTGATTAATCTGAAAACTAATATAATATCCCCCAAATTTTCAAACTTCTTTCTGAATAGAAACAGTTTCTTCAAAAAGGTAAACGTACATGCACTGTTAAAGGAAAGCACATGAACTCTAACCACTTAATGTAGATAGCACATATTGTAGCTTAAAATATTGATTCAGAAACTCAAAGCAGTTGTAGAACATTGCAACTTGATTGTGAGGTCTTGTGCAACAAACCTCACCAGAAGCAATACCTCTGACCTCTGCTCACCACACACCCCAGAACAGATTGGGATGTGAAGATAGGCTTCTTCTTGGAGAGCTATAGATTTGAACAGATCCTGAGGGTAGATAACTTCTTTGATGAGAGCTTAGGGTTTCTATCCTGAATTTCCTGTACTGGACGGATCAGTTGAGGAATTTTAGATCTAGGATTGCTCTCCATGATGTTCCTTCCTTCTTCAGAACCACAAAGAATGTTGAACAGATTCCATAGCAAAATTGTTCCCTGGGAACTGGTTCTATGGCTTCTGCTTGTAGAAGATGCTTCACTGGAGCATTTTTGTGGATCGTTGGATATCGGAGACAGCAAGAATCTCGGAGACATATTGGAGGTGAACTCCAGTTTGTAACTGTTGAGAAGAGTGCCAGCGCCCAGTGTTTGGGCCAGTGCGCACGTCTTGCAGTGACATCTGCCACAAAGGAATGAGGGGCATACTGAGAAGTGTCCATAGTTGCATCTCCAATGAAGGGAGCTTGAGGTTTGTTTATAGGTTGGCTAAGCTGCAGAGGTGAAGATGTCAAAGGCTGGAGACCAGGGAGCAGTTCTGCTTGATTGTTGATGCTTGTGTGCTGTGTGTGTTATTCTTTGTTAATGCTGTCAAAATTCTCAAAATGGTGAATTCAGGCCAGATAACAGTGAATATTATTTCAGATTCCAGATAGCCTTATAAAACCCCTGCCCTGCTTTCATTTAATCATCTCAGTAAATTATCTCAAAAGTTTCAAAATGCTATAGTAATTTACATTTCCTTCAAAATGTTGTCATAGTTATTCATCTTACTAGATATTATCACATCTGTTTTATCTTGTAATTTAAACTCTTCCACCCCAACGTATTTCGTCTAGTGGTGAGCAAAGTCCCTCTGGCTCAATCGTAATTGAGTCATGAATGCCATATTGAAAAAAAGAATTCTTCATTTTAAATTGGCCAATAATGTCTTATTGCAGTGCTGTTTGGAAATTCCTTTGCAAGTGCAGGGAAGGCAATGCATTATCTAGACAACCATGAAATCCTCTCTTGGATTGTGTGCAGAATTCTTTGATCAAGAGGAACACCACCCCCACCCCTGGGGAAACAATCAGCTTTGGTTTTCCTTAACCCCTATGCATTCACTGTTATAAAAATTACATTTGCATGATGCATATCCTGCCCTTTAGGCATACTTGATGTCCCTAGCCCTGGGACCATGACATTCTAATTTTAGGTAAGTTATATTCAGTTTTACAAAAAGTCCAAGTTAATTTCAGAAATCAGGACAGGTCCATTGAGAGCCAATAAGACGTTAACGCTTTCAACTTCTGCATATGTGCTGAAAATGTTCCCTACCATTGGGCCTGTTGCAAATAATATTGAAGAGAACAGACTTGGATCGAAAGCTGCATTTAGGGGAACCCTCTTCCCCCCAAATTCTGCTAATTTCTCCTTCCTGCTGCAGTCTCCCATGTCCCACCCTGTGCCATTCTGTTTTTTGGGATGGGTTCAGTGTGGAGAAGGGGCCAGGAAAACTGAATTTTGTGAGCTGTGTAGGATGGATCCTTCCCATTATGTTTTTATTGCAATTAAAGTAATAATTTAATGGTAAGGCAACATAGCTTGCAATAGAAGGAAGTATTTCAGGCGTGGAAAATTCATATTATGACCCAGTTAATATCAAACTTTTAGCATGAAATTAAATGAATGTTCACTTAATTATTTTAAGCTGTCTTGATTTTTTTAAAGGTTCGTGTGTTTTGATGCTCAAACTTTTTATTTCCTATACTTTCTCTGTAGAAACGTTCAAAAGGCCAGGTGCTGTTTGACAAAGTGTGTGAACATCTGAACCTGCTGGAAAAAGATTACTTCGGGTTAACATACAAAGATATGGAAAGCCAAAAGGTAAAATTAGACAAGAATTTAGGAAATTCATAAAGAAAGGATAAAATAGGGAAAATATATCAAATCCAAGCATTTCAGTCTTATTAATGATACTGAGATTGTGTTGCCAGAATCATCAGCCTTCAAAACTGGTCCGAGTGGAGGCAGTAGCATCCTCCTGTCAGCAACAGTGTTGCACTTTTCATAATGGAGTGGGGTCCCTGTCAGTCCTGGACACCGAGATCCAGCTCCGAGGGCCTTCATTGTGAGAAGTGAGGTTACAAGGAACCAGGCAGAGGGCCTTCTCAGTAGTAGCTCCCACACTGTGGAATGCCCTCCCATCAGATGTCAGAGAGATAAACAATTACACAACCTTTTGTAGACATCTGCTGGCAGCCCTGTATTTGGGAAGTTTTTAATATTTGATACACAGTTGTGTTTTTATACTTTGGAAGCCATCCAGAGTGGTTGGTGCAACGCAGTCAGATGGATGAGGTATAAACAAATGATTAGTTGCTGTTGTTCTTCTCGATGATTTTAAAAACATGTTTGTACATTCAAATATTTTAAATACTTATTTTCAGAATTGGTTGGACCCAGCCAAGGAAATAAAAAAGCAGATCCGAAGTAAGTTGTGCTAAATCATTTTAAAGACATTAACTGTAAGTTTTAAATAGGGATTCCTTCCAGGTAAGTAACATTAGGAATGCTGCCTAAAAGATGTGATTATACCTGTAGAAGAGGTCTATATATCTGTGGTTCTACCTTGTATTTTTAAATTTCTTTTTCTACATTGTTACCCAATTTTATACTTCCTTTCTCCTGTTACCAGTGCTTGACATGTAAATCGACTTGTGAACTGCTTTAGAAACCTAAAAGTACCCAGCATAAATTAAGCATCAAGGCAACCAAGTCGAATATTTAAGATCCTTTCTACAAACTTGGTATAATGCATACACATGGAATTTGCTGTAGCAAACAGATGTCAGTGTTCATTCTCAATCACACTTCACAAATAAAATCTTTCCAGTGGCCAAGTATATGCAAGCAATTACATTTGGTAGGAAGCGTTCTCCATCTGGAATTAAAACATGGTTTCTGGTTTACAAATGTTAATTTATAGTATGAGCGAAGTGGTATACTTGTAATGAGAAATATTTAATAAAATGTTGTAAATGCTTTAAAACATCAAAATTTCTGTAAAGAAATGTCTGCTTTGAATAGCCAAATTATGTAAACCTGTTTTGAAAGCCTAAGCACATGGATTTCAGTTGAACTAGGTTTATATGTGACAGCAATGGTTTCAGCTGCTTGCCATTTTTAAAAATCAGTATTGATGTAGTCAAGAAAATGTGCAGTGTTTGTTATGGTAGATTCATCTGATGTAGACTTCTTAGCCAAATGTGAACAATGGTAACTGCAGGAGATTATCCTGAACAGCAAAGTCTAGTCCTGCTCTTGACAGTGGGAAGAGATGCAGTTGTAGCATATAAAATGCAAAACTTGCTGTTTCAGAGAATTACTTTAGGAACCCAGTATTACCAGGCATAAAATATTATTGACTGATAATTTAAGAATGCAAATCATACACAAAAAATCATTAGCACACGGGATCTCCTTTGGGCTCCTCTACCCTGAAAGGCACCCAGTTATCATTGCAGTTAAAAGTAATAACGTTCAATGGCACCTAAGAACATTTGGCAAAAGTATGTATACAGTTTTTCTCACCCTGTTTCTTTGTTTTACCCAATATGGGAAAGAAATATGGACTCTGCCTTTTTTCTAAAATCAGTACAGCACAGCAGGCTTACTTGAAGTCTTTCTTGCTTTTCCCAAACAAATGAATGGAATCCAAACATTTTCCAAAGTAGCTCAGAGATTTGTACACCAGGATTGTTAAGATCTCTGATTAATTGCCATTTAGAAGCCTGTTTTTCCTGAATAAACCAAGAGCTTTGTTCAAGCGAAGGACTTGTTCAAGCAGAAATATATGTAAGGAAGGACCAAGAAAAGAGAGTCTTTGTATTTTGTAAGGGCAGAGGTTCATTCATGTATATAACATTCCAGACCCTAAAGGACAAAACCTGTAGGAAATTTGCACACAATTTAATATATATTGTACTGTCAAGATTAACATGACCCCTCTACTGTCAAGCACACCAAGGCTTCAGTAATGAAACTTGACACACCTTCAACATGCATATTCATCATGACGTGCTCAGTTTAAATAGTTAAAAATAGGATGTTGCAAAGTAGAAAAGTACTTAAAACTGAAATTAAAAGATATACTTTACACAGCTTCTGCTGGTAAGATATATGGCACCTTAGTGAAATAAGAACTTGGGCAGAATTTCAGTAAACTGTAAGGGATATTCAGAGGTCTAAATAGAAAAATATTGTATGTTGTGTAGAGTCCCCAGTCTACATGTTCATCTGCATTTTATGATTTTGATGGTTCAGGCAGTGACTCTGTTTTTTATATAGTTTTATAGGCATATAGATATTCCTTTTCCGCATAGTGTTTGTATGGTTTAGTCATGGCCTTTGGCTAGTACAATAAAGCTTATTTACTTACCTTAGTGGACTGAATTTATTATATGTTTTATTTCTAAACATTTCTACCCTGTCTTTCTATTAAAATATTCAAGGCATCTTATAAATAATAAAAACTGCAAGCAAGCAGGAACGTAACAATTACAGTACATGTTTTAAAAACAGACTTACAAGACAAGTTTAAAGCAGCAGCGGTCGAATCCTTATTTAAAGCAGCATCGTGTTTTTAAAAATTGTGTGTACCTTTTCCAAAGAACATTACAGAAGTTTAGTTGCATCACAACCAAAAAGGCACTTTCCCCTTCTCACCAGGTATCCGATAGTGAGGTGATCTGGAGAAAAGCCTCAGGGTTAGACTCATGGGAAGGAAGATTAATCTAGAGATACTCCAGTTACAGGCCACTGAGAGCTGTAAAGGTCAAAAGCAATTTTGAATCGAGGGAAAAAAATTGGTACACAGTGTTGTGGTTAAAGGATGTGTGTAATATCAGTACATTGCAGCCTTCACCAACCTGATGCTGTCTAGATGGTTTGGACTACAACCCCATCAGCATTCGCTGTTCTGTTAGGTCCAGTCAGAACTCTGGCAGCTTTGCATTATGAACCTGTTGGAAGTTTCCAGGCTGCATTTAAGGGAGTATCCCACATAAGAGTGCATTATAGTAACCTGATTGTCATTAGAACTTGAATGACTGAGGCCAGGCCCAAGAAAGGGCACTGGTGATATTTATTTTATTTATTAAATTTCTAAACATCCCTTCAGCCGAAGAACACAGGGTGGTTTACAACATAAAAACACAAAGATACATACTATAGTAACAAACCAAAACAACCTCTCATTTTATTTTATTTTCTGATATACAAGATCAGGCTGTAAAATGCAAATGTTTATACCTCTTTGCTTTTGTCAAAGTCTTCTTGTAGCAAGACCGAACCAGTTTAAGACTAATAAGCACTGTAATTGGTCAGAGCAGGGGAAGTAAGCTGGCTAGTTGACTGTAGTGGTATTATTGCCTCATCTTGAGGCTTTCAGGGCTGATTCTGAGTAATGACCTCTATGTTTTATCTTTACAATTTTGTACATGGTGAAGGACAAAGAAATTCTGCTGAGATAGATATCCCCAAGGTGCTGATGAATGTGTTTATAGAAATAACTATATGCTTCACTCAGTTGTGGGCACAACCTTGCTAAATGTTTAGGTGGCATTGTTCTTATCTTTGTATTTGATTGTGTAAACCGTATCTTAGCCAAGAAAATTGTCCTGGGTCTACAAGTTTTTGCAGACGCTTCAGATAAGTTGCTGTTTGCCGAGGGACAATTCTTTTTATTTATTTTTTGTTAAGTTAGGAGCCTTCAATCTTCAATTATGAAAGCAAAGGAAATGGTTCAGACAACTGGATAACCATTATTGGACACGGTATGCAGAGAATCCTAATTAAGCTTTGTTTTCTTATAGGTGGTGCTTGGCATTTCTCTTTTAATGTGAAATTCTATCCTCCTGATCCTGCCCAGCTTTCTGAAGATATTACCAGGTATTTAAAACACCCAGCAATCTTTATAAGTTGGTCATGAAAAGTTATTGGTGGTGGCAACCTCTAACTAACAATTATTAAACAATTGTTTGCATAATGTGAGGTGAACACTATTTACTACCGTACTGATAATGGGTGATGGAAGGAAATGTAGATATTGGAGCTGTATCAACCTTATCCACCTGCCCCCTGCCCAAAGGTTTAACTTATAATAAGCTTGCCTCACTGCCATCCCCTTACCTTTGTTGAAGGGTTGGTGGGTGTATTAGGGGAGGCTTGCAGTAGACAACACCTCAGCCTTATGGCATCCAGTGCACTGAAACCTGTGAAGTGTAGCAAAGAGCATTTGAAAACCACATTTCACATGCTTCCTGCGCATACTCATGAGCCTCCATTGCTGGGAACCAGACTTCCTTGCTAATGACTGACCCATCCTGCCTACAGTAAGTTTTGGGGAAGGGCTGGATAATTGTCATAGCGGAAGGCTGGGTAACCCACAGCATCTCAAATAAAACTGCACTTTCTCTGAAAAATCTCAGAAAATTTGAGCTGAGGAGACCTCATCTGTCCCTAACAGTGGCTGTGGCATTCACATAATTGTGAACATATGAACATATGAAGATGCTGCAGTAAATGGAAGGAATAGTTCTTTGCTACCATTAGCAGGTGAAAGACATATTTCTGAAATTGCCGCTTGTAGTTAGCATTAAATGAAAAGTAAGCAGAAGAGGAAACATGAATTGCAATTAAAATAATACAGCAGTGACATACTGAGAAGAACCAATTCCTACCATTCCTGATTGTTATGACTGATATTCTAATGTTTTATTGAAATTTCAACTTTGTTTTATTGAGCTGGTTCTGTTGTGGTATTTTGTTGTTTTTGTTTGTTTGTAAACAGCCTTGGCACTTCTGCTCAATGTATAAATTCTTCTAATTAATATATAGTGCGTGGGGAGGTAGAACTCTGTTGTGCCTAAAATAAAAACTGGAGTTCTGACTGCATCTACTGTTTCTTCATATGTGCACACCACTTCTTGGGATTGTGTTTTCAAGTGCTCCATTATGTATCAACCTAACTGGTCATCCCCCAACTGCCCTATGACGGAAAGAAGAGATTTCTTTCACATTCCTGTTTGTCCTTTCTTCTGCTTCCTAGCACTTTGGTTAAAGGAAAGATTCTGCACTTGTCTAGGCTTAATGGAACCTTTAAACTGCTTGTGAATTGCTAGAACTTGCAAGGGGTATGGAGGTGTTAATGAGGTTTTTTTTTACAATTTTTTTTTGCAGGTACTACCTCTGTTTACAGCTGAGAGATGACATAGTTTCTGGTCGACTGCCATGTTCTTTTGTTACACTTGCACTATTGGGCTCCTATACAGTTCAGTCAGAGCTTGGGGATTATGATCCTGATGAATACGGAAGTGATTACGTCAGTGAATTTCGCTTTGCACCAAACCATACTAAAGAACTGGAAGACAAAGTAATAGAGCTTCATAAAAGCCACAGGTAATATAAGCAGGTGGGAAATGTATACAAGATAGTCCTTTGGAATTCTATCCTCCTTCAAGAAAAATGTACTGCATTTCAAAGCATTAAACTGAGGGGGAAATGATTGGATGGAGTGAATAATAGTGTAAAACAGACAACTGCATGAAATCATTTAAATCATCATAAAGGACACATTTATTTTCTGGGAAACAAGTTCATTTTTAAGTGTGTTTATTTCTACTCATGTTGATTATCTTTAGGGGAATGACACCTGCAGAAGCTGAGATGCATTTTTTGGAGAATGCAAAAAAATTGTCCATGTACGGAGTAGATCTGCACCATGCCAAGGTACAGTCTAAGTAGCAGGATGGTTCAGATTAGAAACTTAGAAGTGTTGCCATTCATGCCTTAAGTAATATGTCTGCAAATAATCTGTTGATTTTATTGTCTAGTTTATTGAATATATTTTGATGAACTGATGATTATAAAATAAAAAGAATGCTAAAGCACTTTTAACTGAAATGTAAATTCAGTCAGATCTATGTTATAGAGTGTCCTATCCTTCACCTGGCATGTAGTTTCAGTGGTACATTGTTCAGCATCCACAGAGCCATTGAAGAGGCTCTGGTCTCTTCTGCATGTAATGCTAAGCTAAACCATGGCTTTGTGACAAGCAAGCAGGTGGGTAATCAGTAAGAAAATAATGGTAAACCATTGGTTGCATATCATGGCTTTTGGGGAGTGAGACAAACCTTGAGACTGAGTTGGCATGGAAAGCTAAGCCAAACTATGGTTTAGCTCCAGGTATCAGGGCAGCAGGATGACTGTGGGAGCGCCAAAGCAGTCATGATTTTCTCTCTGAGCTTGCTCATTCTTTCCAGACCATGATTTGGCTTACCATTGTGTGTGAATCGGTCCTTTGTCTTATGTACCTGTGGAAAGTTCTGTAATCAGTGCCATGGAATAGAGTTAACCGAACCAAAATGTACTGTACTTATATATGGTGAAACAGTGTCTGCAAAAAGTGGTTTGGCTTGACATGTGGCTTTAAAAAGGTAAAGGTAAAGGTACCCCTGCCCGTACGGGCCAGTCTTGCCAGACTCTAGGGTTGTGCGCCCATCTCACTCAAGAGGCCGGGGGCCAGCGCTGTCCGGAGACACTTTCCGGGTCACGTGGCCAGCGTGACAAGCTGCATCTGGCGAGCCAGCACAGCACACGGAAACGCCGTTTACCTTCCCGCCACTAAGCGGTCCCTATTTATCTACTTGCACCCAGGGGTGCTTTCGAACTGCTAGGTTGGCAGGCGCTGGGACCGAACGACGGGAGCGCACCCGCCGCGGGGATTCGAACCACCGACGTTTCGATCGGCAAGCCCTAGGCGCTGAGGCTCTTACCCACAGCGCCACCCGCGTCCCACCCGCATGTGGCTTTAGTCTTCCTCAATTTAAGATCACACGTTTACATCTTAGTCATTATACATTAAATGGATCATGTTTTTGGCAAAACGTTGCTGACCAGAAGAAAATTATGAAGTGCATGTTATTCTGAGTGCATTCTGCATAAAATCTTTTCGAAAGCTTAGACAAATGTATATAATATATACACAGGTTTTGAAAGGACTGTAGGGCATTTCAGAAGGAAATCTGCATAGATATTTGAGTGAAAGAAAGTCTTTTATTTTGTGTTCTGTTAATTACATTAACTGTTTTTGCCAGAAATGGGATAACTTTGTGGTTCAGTGGATGGCATTCCCCACAAAGGAATGCTGTCCACCTCCAATCTGATGTTCAAAAAGCTTGTGATTGTGAAAATGGAAATGAACCATCGATGCTCTAAAGATTAAAAAATAACATATTTTGAAACATCTTTTTTTTAGGACTCTGAAGGAGTTGAAATCATGTTAGGGGTTTGCGCAAGTGGTCTCTTGATATATCGGGACAGACTCAGAATAAACAGATTTGCTTGGCCTAAGGTTCTCAAAATTTCATACAAGAGGAATAACTTCTATATCAAAATCCGACCAGGGGAAGTAAGTGGACTTCAGCAAACCGAATGTATTTCAGTGTTCCTTTTGCGAACTGGACTACTCCAGTTGCCCAATTTCATATAATCATTAACTGAGTTCATGCAAGTGTATGTAACCAAGTCCATGGCAGTCATGGCATTATGCTGTATTTCCCCTGTTGCCAGAACCACCCCCCTTGCCTTTCTGAGGGCCAAACTACATATGACAGCATTCACACAAGTAGGAATTGTAGCATACACTTGTGTCCTTTCTTACGTACGCACTCTGCTTCATTCTTCCTCACCCTCTTTGTACTAGACAAATGTTTACTTACCAAGATCATCATTTTCACATTATTTTAGACTCCCCCCCAATGTTTTAATTCTTGTATAATTTATTAATCAGAACATTTCTAAGGTTGGGTTAGTATTGGGGATATTGAGTTGTTGAAGCTATTATTAAACTTCATATCTGAGTAGGAAGTTACTTTGTTCTCCTACTTTTAAACCCCAGAGCACCACATTGTCAGAAATAACAGCTGATTTCTTTGTGGCAGCAAGATGAGAATCTTATGTCGCAGTTTATTAATGTAGCAATAATAGTGTCTTGATGTGTTAAGTTTCTTCTCTACAGCACTTGACATATCTCATGGTTGGTCCACGAGTCCAGTAAAACCTATTAATAGCAGTTAAGATACACTTTCATATATTTTGACAGACATTAATCAAATATCCCTTTCTTAAATAGTTGTGGATTTTGTATGCTAGTTCTTCTAAGTCCGTGGTGGTCAACTTTTAGCTCCCCAGGTATTGTTGGACTTCAGCTCCCATCAGCCTGGCACTGGTAGTCCAGCAACATCTGAAATGTGTAGAAGAACTCTGACATGGTGTTTATTAGCAAACCAGAACTGACCCTGTTTTATGCCATTATATTTACTTACAATATATATTCCCCTGGGAATGTCTGTGTAGCCAGTTCAGGCTGCAAGGGACCAAATTAAGGTTTCATGTGCAGCCATAAATCTAGAATACACTGCATATTATTTGCTTACATTGGCAACCCTAACAGTGTTGACCCAGTCTGCTTGTATGTAATATATGCAGATGTATACAAATTTCTTGAGTTGGTAATATGCTTCATTGTATATTTGTTACATCTTAACTCGAAATTAAATGTTCTTTTTTCTCCTAGTTTGAGCAATTTGAAAGCACAATTGGGTTTAAATTACCAAATCATCGTGCTGCGAAGCGTTTATGGAAAGTATGTGTTGAACATCATACATTTTTCAGGTATACAATCTCTTTTATATTTTAAAACATGACACATAGAAATGAAGAATAAAAACTAAAATGTACTTAAGAAGGATACAATTAAATAGTTCTGCTAGCAGGAGCCAGCATAATGGCTTCTATTAGTGCAGCAGGGTTTTCTCGCCTCTCCCCCACCCCAGAACAGCAGAGGAGATGGGAGGTTGTTCTGTTGGGCAAGTAGAAATATAATGTCCGTTTACATCAAATGGGTCTCCTTTGAGTAGGGCTAGCATTGGATACAACCCATTAAAATGTAGCATTCTTCTTGATCATTGGTATAGAGAAACATTTGAAATATATGCTTGACTATAAGAGGAAGCACTTCATGGTCCCTGGTGGTAATTGAGGCCTCTGCAAGAGCCCCACTCCTCTTCCTTGGATGAGCCCCACACCCAGAGTCATGGTTGGGCAGGACTACATCTATGAAGATAATTTCACCAATGATGTGGAAGAACAGTTACTATATAATGAGTTGATATAATCTAGGGATTCTTTCTTAGGGTGGGGTCAGATTAGGGATACCAACTCTAGAATGAAGAGTGAATTTTGGGGCAAACTTAATGTGGAAAGTTTTAATACTACTGTAGTGGTGGGTTTGAGAGAAGTCTACCTGTATGCTGATTCACCTAGATATAATATCTTATATATCATAGCCAATACATAATCAGTGTCAGTGCCACACAAAATGACTGGGGTATGTGATGTTTGTGTGTTTGTGGATATGTAGATATATTTGTGAAGAAGCAGTTGTTGATACATGTTTTTGAAAAGAATAACAGACAACATCATCATCATTATTATTATTATTTGACAAAGACTTCAAAATATTCAGCTGTTTCTAACTATAATTTATGGGTTGTATCCAACACTGCACGTGCAGAACTCTCTGGAGTAGATTTTGAGAGTGTCTGGCGTGTTGCAGGGGACAGAAGGGGAGGGACGGGAAGGTTCTACAGTATTTAATTCTAGCATAAAACTAAGGCTGTAGATCTATGTCCACCTAGCCTGGGTGTTAGTACCAGTGGATATAACTAGATTTACATCTGAGGAGGCATGCGTAGGAGCACTGTGTTATAACCGTATCTATTCAAATAAAGGATTATGGAATAGAGACATGGATGCCCAGAATTTATTTTTCACTTCATTTTTCCCATTTAAAACCTGCAATTTGTCACAAGCATTCTGTGTGATATGTTCTAGGCTCTTGCTCCCAGAGGCTCCTCCCAAAAAATTTCTTACACTGGGTTCCAAGTTTCGCTACAGTGGAAGGACACAAGCCCAAACAAGGAGAGCAAGTGCACTGATAGACCGCCCAGCACCTTACTTTGAGCGTTCATCAAGCAAACGCTATACAATGTCTCGCAGCTTAGATGGGGGTAAGATGCTCTTGATGGTCTTTATTTGGAGTTTTATCTTAATTTTTTTTATATTGTTAGAGAACAGATTTAAGCTTCTTGTAATCTCATGTCCCTTGAGCTTCTGTCGGATGATGCTTGTAAGTATATGCATGATACTTCATTCATTATAAAATGCCCATTAAATAAATATTAGCCTTCTGCTTTTCCTGGGCTTATTCATACGGCAGTACACAAAAGCTGTGGAAAGAACAACAATGAAACTATGAAACTTCAACCTTGGCCCACCTATTCCTTCAACCACCAGTCTTTCTTCAGTTACTGAAATGCTTTCTGTTTCCCTCAGCTTTTTAGGGTGTTCCAACCAAATATATACTCGATAGTTGACCTAGATCCCAAAGAGACTCAAATAAATACATAAAACAATTGCCACCAGAACTCCTGTTTTTAGGTTTCAGATTGGTGTCACACCAGTTGTCTGCCTGCCTATATGGAATTTAAGTCATTTCCATATAGCTTATCTGCCTGCACACCTATGGGCAGGACCCATAAAGAGGGCAGGTGGGTTGGAAGTCCAGCGAGGATTGGAGCTAAGATGGCTGTGTGCAGCTAGTATTTATTAATATTAGATGGATTTGACTGGGAACTAGGGTTGTCAGGTCCACAGCCCTACCCCTCAGTTTGTTCCTGACTGGCTCACTTGAACAAGGCCTCTGGGCATGCCACATGGCTGCAGAGGGAGGTGCTGGCATCCCTCAATGGCTACCTGTAGCCTAAGAAGGCCTCGGATCCAGGCTCCTGCCAGGCCAGGCCACAAACCCCACCTCCGTGGAGTCCCAGGTAAGCGGCATTCTAATTTTCAGGTGTTGCCTAGATTCCGGCCTCGCCTGCATGCATACAGTGTAAATAAATTAATATATGTTGTGAAAGACAAATCAAGGCTCCTGAGCTAGCTCTTTCCTTCCTCTTTACTGCTACTTTTGTTGCTTATGCTTATCAACAATTTGCAACCCTTTAAAACTAACAAAACATGATGCTCAAAATGTGAACTCACCTAATCAATTTTCAGTTTAATACTATTTATTTGCAGATAGAAAATCAGCATGTAACTGTCTTCTAGGAAGCTGCTATTCAAATTTCTATACATAAAAAAAGGAATATAAAGCAGATACCAAGAAACTGCCGGGGTCAATGGAAAAAATTGTGATCCATATAAATTAGTGATAATCCTTGGTGTTCCCTGATGAAACTGATAACATGAGTGCTTATCACTCATTAATTTTGATCCTTTTGAGTACTAATATGCTTCCTGCTGGTTACCAAGCAACTCGCGACCTTGCTGCTATGCATGCATCTCAGAGTACAAATTGTTCTCAGCGTTGTTTTTCTTTTGCTTAGTTTTTATTAAGTAAATACCTCTAGCAAAATTCAGATCAGAACAACCCTAATCATTGTCTTGTATGCATGCATAGGTTACATCATGGTTAATTGGACAGTGTTTTTTTTCTGGGCAGAACATGAGCCCCTTTTTTAAAAATAGGGGGTGTAAAATGTGATTTGAGTTTACTAAGAGAGGGAAAGGTGCTCCAATAATTTTTGATGTGCATACAAATTGAATGTACATGTATCTCTAAATCACAGATAATATACTCGAATTCTAAAAGTGCAGGTTAGGTTTTTTCCAAAGGGTTTGTTGAGGCAGAACAGAATTACGACTACATTAATTTGAAAAATCACTCTGAGTAAAGCATATAAAAAGGTGGAACATGGCATTATTACAAATTGGTAATTACCGTATTTTTCGCTCTATAACACGCACCTGACCATAACACGCACATCGTTTTTAGAGGAGGAAAACAAGGAAAAAAATTCTGAATGAAACAGTGGATGTATCATTTTTGTGCTTCATGCTGTGGCCACAGACATGTGATCTGATGGTGAATTTGGGGTAGCTCAATGCAAAGATCCTGAGGATCCATGTGGATCCATGCTTTTTAACCACATTTTTGCACCATTGCAGCCCCAGGCAACAGTGGGTGTGTGATTTTTGGGGGGCAGGCTGCTATGTGATCTGATGGTGAATTTGGGGTGGCCCAATGCAAAGATCCTGAGGATCCATGTGGATCCATGCTTTTTAACCACGTTTTTGCACCATTGCAGCCCCAGGCAACAGTGGGTGTGTGATTTTGGGGGGGCAGGCTGCTATGTGATCTGATGGTGAATTTGGGGTAGCCCAATGCAAAGATCCTGAGGATCCATGTGGATCCATGCTTTTTAACCACATTTTTGCACCATTGCAGCCCCAGGCAACAGTGGGTGTGTGATTTTTGGGGGGCAGGCTGCTATGTGATCTGATGGTGAATTTGGGGTGGCCCAATGCAAAGATCCTGAGGATCCATGCTTTTTAACCACGTTTTTGCACCATTGCAGCCCCAGGCAACAGTGAGTGTGTGATTTTAGGGGGGCAGGCTGCTATGTGATCTGATGGTGAATTTGGGGTGGCCCAATGCAAAGATCCTGAGGATCCATGTGGATCCATGCTTTGTAACTACATTTTAAGTGGGGAGTGAAGGAAAAACACAGAAGGGACAAGAGAGCAGTGTGCAGAGAAGCAGCTGGCTAAGAAAGCAGGAGAGGGATTTAACTGGAGGGAGGAAAGAAAGGCAAAAGTTTCCCCAAACCGAAGCGAGCTCTCTCTCTCCTCCTGCATGTTTTCTGGCTGCCTGCGAGGAGCACGGAGAGGAATTAGAAGGAAAGACCTCTGCTTTCCCCTCTGCTTGCCTGGAGGGGAGGGGATTTGCCTGCTCTTTGTTCCGTTTGAGCAAACACAGCAACGAAACAGAGGAGGGTGGGCAGTAAGACCCTGAGGCAGAATGCAGGAAAGCAACCACTTCCTCTTTTCAGGTTTCCCTCTCCGACACAACGCAAGATTGATTTTTGCTGATTTTTGTTCCTGCGCTCCCCTAATCGGCTCCAGGGACCCCCACATTCGCTCCATAACACGCACAGACATTTCCCCTTCCTTTTTAGGAGAAAAAATCTGCGTGTAATAGAGAGAAAAATACGGTAGATATTAACCATGGAGTAGGTTTACCTTGCACTGGTTACTAATTTGGGGAACTAAATACTTGTGTAAAGTTATCAATGAATTCAATGGCATAAGTATACACCTGGCTTTTTGGTTATTTCATTTGTATCTTGCTCATCCTCCAAAGAGCTCAGCTTATAATACAACAATCTTGTGAGGTAGTTCAGCTGAGAAATAGTGACTAGCTCAAGAAAGCCCAGTGAGATTCATAGTACAGAGGAGATTTGATCCTGGGTTTTCTGGATTCAAGCCTATACTTAGTGTAACCTCTAGTTTTCCAATTTCTATATTCTATTCAGGCCAGATACATCTTAGAAAAGTTATGCGTATAATTGTTACTAATATTCCTTTCAAAGTTGTTGCTCAGCTTTCAGTTGGTATCCATGTGCATCACTGAAATTAAATGGAAGCTTTTAGCACTGTATAGCCATGGACAATAATTTTATTTAAAATTAAAAAAAAAATAATTTTATTAATTTAAAAGATTTTAGGCCACTCATCATGGCACTGTGTAAGGAATCTTAACAACTGAAAAACACCAAAATAAAATCACAATAAAATAAACATAGAGCATTGCTTCTGGTACAGATCCAAAGGAGGCTCACTGATTTATTGGAAAGAAAAATTAGATTTTTTGAAAGTTCAATATATAAGGGTGGAAATGGGGGGAAATCTTACAGAACCAGTTATTGTAAGTCTGTTTCCCCAGGACTTACCATGGAGGGCCAAATGGGACTGTAATAGTGCTTGCAGTTTGTTTGTTCTTTAATAAGGAGCAGGTTATGTGAATGGGGAGGTCAAACCAGTTTTGGGCCTTAGAATGGGAAGGAGGAAGTGAGTTAATGCTTGGACAGATGTTTCTCTGATTGGTGTCAGTGGAACCATGCCTGTTACTTGCAGTGGAGTGGAAACTGCCATTGGCACCCAGTTCTGATCAAGACTGTAGCAGAGGGAATGTGATAAAGCCTCATGTCATGATTCTGATCTGACTTACTTGCCTCCTATAAAGCTGTTTTTTGGTTTTCAAAACAACAACCATGCAAGGGCTAACAACTTGAGTAACGTCACACATCTAGTTTGTCCCCGTCCCCCCCGGCAGTCTTGCAGAGTACCATGGTATCATTTAAGTCTACAAAAATGGAAAGGAAATTATTATAGCTTCTCACCGCCAGAATTTTACTCTAGGAAAAGGTTTCTACAGTTATGATTTACAGTGCAATTCTGAGCTAGATAGATCGATTTGCCATAGAGTGGTGACATTTGATATGGATAGAGGAAAAGGTCTGTAATATACACAGAAGTATAATTTTGATTCATAATAACATAACATACAAATTTTGGACCATTAGAGGTGTTTTTTTTATCATAATGTTTCAGTGCAATCATACCAGTCCTATAAATTGTTTTTTACATACTCAGCTTTCTAAAAAAAATCTTTTTCGTTTCCAAAAATTATGGAATCTTCTTTGGATGTACAGTTTTATTTTTTTAGGTTTATACTGTCCTCCTTTTTGGCTCCATTTTGGTTGCATTGCATCTGGTTACATTATAATGAAAATAGTAAACAGAACCCTTTCCTGCTATGCGCATTGCATACTGATTATTATTTACACCGTTCTCTTAAGCAAGAAACGCTGCAACATGCTCAAATCATGTTAGTTTTTTGATGTTGAGCGTTCTAGCAACTAATATTATAAATGTATTCTGAATATGTGTTATGGAGCATCTGCATGTGTATGAATACATATAAAGCCTTAATATGTGTGTATGCATATGCACACTTGTATATTTAATCCCTTTGCAAATTTACTTAGTAATTATACATGTTTCTGCATGTTTCTGAAACATGACATTTTTAGCTCCTTGGCAAATTGCTTTAATCCACATTTATTTTTATTTGGCTTTGCAGCGCAATTTATGTTAGACTTTACCTCTTCAAATTATATTTGCTTTTAGCATCAGTCAATGAAAACCATGAAATGTACATGAAGGATTCTATGTCTGCTGCAGAGGTTGGTACTGGCCAGTATGCCACGACAAAGGGCATCTCTCAAACGAACTTGATAACCACTGTGACTCCAGAGAAAAAGGCGGAAGAGGAGAAGGATGAGGACCAGAATAAAAAGAAGAAATCAGAAGAAGTCACTCCAGTCTCAACAATACGGCATGATACAAAGGTATAGTTTTCTGGTTTATATTTAGCTCCACTAGCTAAGCAAAATTAGAAGTGGTAGAAAGAAACATTTGTCATGATATATATTCATATTCAACAGGAAATATATTTATGATCCTGTGGAGTCTTTTTCTGCAATTTGAATATGATGACTTGCAACACATCTTATTTTATAGAGAAATGGTTTATTTCTAAGCAATATGATGAACTCTGCAAAAATGTAAATAGCTTTGCTGTTATGGACTGAGATGGCTTTCACATTTTTCTTATTTTTAGAAGACCAGGACTTTTATGTTTGTAATTTTTTTAAAAGATCTCACTTTTACCATGTTTTTTTAATTACTCCTGAGAAGTTTATCCAAATGGCTCTTGTGTGAATTCTTATTTTTCTGATCTAAAATATCACTACCTTCCTTTTCATGTTGTTGGAATCAGTGTCGCTGGCACACTTTTAAGTGTAGGTTTTGGCATTTCATTCCATCAGCCAGCCACAGTACTTGGAGAAATAGGTTTTAACTAATTCTGGATCCATAGCAAACCAAGCAATTTTCTGAGCCAGTAGGTCCTTCAGTGTCTGTTGCACACAACCAATAGGTTCAATCAACAATGTAAATGAGGAGCTTCAGCCTAATGTTGCAGCTACATATACTCTAAACAGCATTCTATTCCATTTGAACTGCTTCTTTAGTTTCAGTCCTGTTTTTCAAATTTGAGGCATCTAGGACTTTGCCAGTGTGTTCCATAATAGCATGCTTTTATAATACAATGTAGGTTTATTATCCCTAGTTTTGCATGCCCGCTGTTCATTTCTTTCACAACCACTCTGCTTTAGCAGCTTTGCACTGCACTGCTGGTCCACACAGCCACTCCTGTATGACAGCCTAAGGTTGGCTGCTGACACCAGTGCAGTGTCACCCCAAATTGTGATGTTGCTGGCACCTTTTCTAATTACTTTGCTGACTGGGAAGCTCACAGGCTATGGCTGTAAAGCTTTTACATAAATGTACAAATTCTTAATTCTGTCTTTATAGCTGCTCGGTTGGTTAAAATTTTTGATTTTGCAGCTCCAGGCAACTGAAATAAGTTTGTAAGAATAAACTGAAGTGACAGCATTCACCCTGCACTTTTAATTCAATTGTAGGGCTAAAAAGAACAAAATTTGTTGTTGCAAACTACACTGAAAGCAGTGTGTTTATTATACAGTCATACCTTGGTTGTCGACTGCCTTGCGACTCAAATGTTTTGGCTCCCGAACACCGCAAACCTGGAAGTGAGTGTTCCGGTTTGTGAATGTTCTTTGGAACCCAAATGTCCAGCAGGGCTTACGCGGCTTCTGATTGAGTGCAAGAAGCTCCTGCAGCCAATTGGAAGCCGCGCCTTGGTTTTTGAACATTTTTGGAAGTTGAAGGGATTTCCGGAAATCTAAATGGTGATGCTTAATGAATTCTAAAATGGCTTTTACTCTTACTAATAAGAAAGTATTACAGCTTATTAAGAGGACCATATATTTAGATTAAGAGAATTAAATCATACAAGCAAATTAGATGAACACAGATAAATACAGTAAGATAGGAAAATAAGAAAAAGTTGTCTTCTTCTAAATTCAAGATTTTATGTCTTGGGTTCCAGTGCACAGTAGTAGACTGGGTGCAAATAACTTTACATATGAACCTACCAAACTGTTAGTAAATGTCAGCTCTGACAGTGCCAATTACCTGTTAAGAGCAGAAGAAAAATAAACTAGATTATGCCTCTCAAACAGGTGGTCAGAATTCTGCCACCAGGTAACAATGCAGCCACCAGGTACATGGACCTGATTCACCAAAAACTTGCCCTGTGTGTGGATGCTACGATCACTGAAGTCAATAGCAGCTCTGTTGATTTTTATTTTAAAGTGCAACTTGATCCATCCATTTCTCTCTCTCTCTCTCTCTCTCTCTCTCTCTCTCTCTCTCTCACACACACACACACACACACACACACACTGCATAGTTTCATCTGTTGGGTTTTCTTTACTTTAAAAAAATCCTTTTAAAATTATTTATTTCTCTTTTTAATTATTTTACCTCCATTTACCATATCAGAGAAGTATGGGAGATTTATTGAAAGCTTCCATGGGGTTCCTCATTTAGAAGGACGTACTTGTGATAATACATGTATAGGCCTGCACTATAAATATATGAAAATGCTGTATCAAATTGATTGTCATAGAATTTGCTCTTGTGCTCTAAATAACTTAAATATGTACAGTATCCAATTAAGTTGTACTTAGAGCAACCCCCTTGAAATAAATGGACTTAAGTTACTCATGGCTAAATTAAGACCACTGATTTCAGTGAGTCTACTTGAGGCATGCAGACAACCTTTAGACTGTCAGGAAAACTGCACTGCTAAAAACCTTGTCTAGAGAGATCATCACAGGCTGCAGCAAACAGATGAAGTGGTGGCCAGAGCACTATCAAGAACTGTAATCGCAGGAAAACATGGTCTCTGGCACAGCAATTGACAGCATTCAGACTCGGCTTGTCTTGGAGAGTTGGATGCTCCCCCCTTCCTTCATGAGCTGAAGAATGCAATCAACTCTCAGGCATAAGGTTAAGCCCCAGGACAGGACATAATCTCAACAGAAGTGCTGAAAGCTAGCCTCAGTTCCTCCAACATAATGCACCTCTCATGACCCCCAGGATTGTGATCCTCTATAACAGTGTTCCCCAACCTTGGGCCTCCAGCTGTTTTTGGACTACAATTCCCATCATCCTTGACCACTGGTCTTGATAGCGAGGGATGATGGGAGTTGTAGTCCAAAAACAGCTGGAGGCCCAAGGTTGGGGAACACTGATCTATAAGAACAAAGGTGACTGCCATGATTGTAAGAACTATCATGGAATCTCCCTGCTGAATACTGTAGAAACCGTCTTTGCCCCTGTAGTTCTCAACAGATTACAGTCTCTCACCAACAGAGTCTATCCAGAGTCACAATGTTGCTTTAGAGCTCAGAGGTCAACAGTCGACATGTTTTCCTCATTGCACCAGCTGCAGGAGAAATGCCAAGAGCAGAAATCCTCCTTGTACATCTCCTTCATAGATCTGACAAAAGCCTTTGACCTTGGTCAGTTAAAAAGGACTCTTCACATTGCTCAACAAAAGAGGATGCCCACCTAAGCTCCACAAGATGATTGTAGCCTTCCACAAGAACATGCATGCCACTGTCCAGTATGATGGTTCATCCTCAAACGCCTTTCCTATAAAGAGCAGTGTAAAACAGGGATGTGTTCTTGCCCCAACTCTCTTTGGCATATATTTCTCCCTGGTGCTCGACTGAAGATCTGCCCAGCTGCAACAAAACATGTCTCTCCCATTTTGGTCTCAACAGCCACAGAAGGCTGTAACTCTCCAACAATTTCATTTTACCCCTGAAGACGCACTCTTCCATTGTCTCTCAAGACAGATGGATGCCAACATTTACTCTTCTAGGCATCACTTAATTGGATATCACCTTATGTCTCCCTCTCCATTTAATATCTCACTAATGCATTAGCTTCCAAATCTGCTAATGTTATACATTTACTTATGCTAACTCAGATTCTTCATCATCTTTTATTTGATTACCATTTTTGTTTAATACTTAAAAACTTGATGTCAGTGTAGTAAATTACCATAGGGAACAACTTAACAGGAAAAGGTGTGTGTGGGGGGGTTTCTACACAAGCTCCATTGTTAAACCAAAGCAAAGGCAGGTAAAATTATGAAAGCTGCAGGACACTTTGTAAAAGGATAACTCAGATTGATTTAGGAATAGCTATCATACTATGTTTTAGAACATCTCGAAGCCATCTAGAAGGCCACATTTGAAAATACAATGTTATTTATTTTTTTCATAAATTTTATACACAGTGTGAGTGTAAAAAACCTCAGATCAGTGAAGTACATGGAGTTTGACTGGATCCAGCAAAGCACTGTGCATTCACACTGTTTTACCAGCAGTAGTTCATCCACTAACAGGCTGAACCTATCCAGTTTGTAACTTTGATTCCCTGGAATCAACACAATTCATCTAAAGCTTGCTGTGTAAGAATAGATTTGAAAGTTTTGTCAGCTGGTATAGTTGTAACTACAAATGGAAAGTGTCCAGATAAATAAGACATCACCGTTGGGGTACTTCTACCTGTAGACAGATAATCTGTGTAAGCCAAAGCCTCTGGACTTAAAGTCACTAAACTGTTAGAAAGCATTAAAAACTCACAAGAACATAATCCTTTGATAAGATTACATAGTTGAGATGTTACTACCATAATCTCTGATAGTCACCCATCTCAGAATGTGAGAGCTTTCAGAGTCATGTCTCCAGTAGTATCAGTGGCTGGGCAAGTTCATAGGGGAGAAGTCTTTCAGGCTCCCTATTCCTAGACCTAAAACTAGCATTTTGATTTTTGGTTGGAAAGCCTGGTAGGCAGCAAAGATATGTAAACAGATCTTTAAAATGGACCATACTCATTTCTAGATGGTCCAGATAATGATTTTTCCACTTTCGTCTGAAGTAATTGAAATTTCCCAATAGTCTAGAAAGGCAGTTCCATGTACAGCACATTACCTGTATATTATCAGGGAATGGGTAGTTTGGGACAGATTGTATTTTCCCAAGAACATTACTATCTATACACAAGCTACATGTCACCTGATTTCCATTGTAGTTCCTTCTTTGTAATATACGGTGACATTTTGTACTTCTCATAAGGAAATTCTTTATAACAAGTGGGATGAGCAACAAAACATCGCAGTGTGGCGTGCTTCTGCTTAGGGTGCCAGCCAGCCATGCCCTAATCCATTTCCCCAACAAGCACTCAGCGTTGTATAGCCACTGAGCATGTTTGGGTTTGGGGGATTTCACCCCTTAAAATCCCCACCCCTCAAGATGTTTTGGACTTCTACGGACCTTCATATTTCTCCCAAGAAGGCTGATACCACTCTCAGTTTGGCTACAGTTATACAAACATACATAAATTTTATCCCACTTTTAACAGCTTCTCAAAAGACTCCTAGGTGATGAAAATTTTCTTTAACAGATCCTTAACTGCCTCCAAACAACAATTCCAAGCATTCCTTGGAAAGAATGTTTGCGAGGATCAGCTTCTCTCTCATGCCAATGTCTTGTTCTAGTTTCCGATTCCTTCTAACTGTAGCTTAAAGTAATGACTAAGTTGGGCAAAATATAGTAGTGGTAACCCTCCAAACCATGGGATTGAAGTGGGTTTGTAAACCATGGCCTGGAAATTGGCACTAGCTTTGATGTGCAAATAGGTATGTTATAGTAAAATAGGATTAGAGCAGACTGGAAATGGAAGAGGGAATTGGTGCATGTACCAAGGTGATGAAGGACTATGAAGGTTTGTAGCAGATATGGAGAACCTTTGGCCCTCCAGATGTTCAGCTACTACAGCTCCTATCAACCCTGGGTATTGCCCATGCTTGCTGGGTTGATGAGTGTTGCAGTTCAGAAAATCTGGAGGGCCAAAGGTTCCTCACATCTGGTCTATAACACAATTCCATTTTTTCAAATCATGGTTTGGGTGACTATCTCAATTGAGCTTTCATGTTTAAGAATATCTAGTTTATTAACCAAATGTAGTAGCTGGGTTTCTACCGAATATGTACATTTGAATATTTTAAAATATAAGATGTCTAATACTGTTAACAGACACATTGACCTTTGAATTTGTGTTATTGGACTGCTCTCCTTCATTTGAATAGCTATGGCATGTGGCAAGGGAATTTAATCCAGTGAATAAATTTGGTTTTTTAAAACTTATGTAATTAACTTTTTATATACAGAGGAAATTAACTAATTACAATTTTCTTTTGTCCTTTTGCTCTTGCACTTTGTTTGCTGCTCTTTCTTCTTTTTCATCAGCCACCTTTGCTTGGTACAGATCCATTACATACCTCACCATCCTCACAATCTGGTCCCTTTGCATCTTCAACAAAGCCCCGTAGGAGATGTAAGGAGAGTGGTCGAAAACCATTAGATTGCAAGTCGCCTAAAAACACTGTTCAAAAGCCTGACGAGTCTGAGTTGGACTCTGAAAGAAAAGGAAGAGTTTGCTCAGTTGAACAAGATATGGCCTTCAGCTATAAACAAAAGGCTGGTAAAGGCGGGACATTGTTTTCCTTCTCCTTGCAACTTCCAGAATCATTCCCCACACTCCTGGATGATGATGGCTACTTATCCTTTCCTAATCTCTCTGAAACCAACTTTCTGCCAGAAAGTGTGCAGCACTTCCTTCCCATTCGCTCACCATCCCTTGTGCCTTGTTTCCTCTTCATCTTTTTCTTTCTGCTTTCTGCCTCTTTCTCAGTGCCATATGCTCTCACTCTCTCCTTTCCTCTGGCTATGTGCCTCTGCTACCTGGAGCCCAAGGCGGCCTCCTTGAGTGCTTCACTTGACAATGACCTGAGTGACAGTTCAGAGGAAGAGGTGTGTACCTCGGCACAGAACACACTTTTTGGTGTTCATTGCTTCAGTCCTAAAGAGTGTTAGAATGCTGCAATAGTGGTCCTACTTTCAGAGCCTCATTTCTGTCTGTGCTGATATGTTCAGAATTTTTTAATTTTTGTTGTGTTGAGTGTAGTTTGAGCCTCAGGGTTAGGCACAATGCTATATTTATGAAGTAGTGGTATCAACTTTTTTAAAAAAAACAACACCTTATTCTAAGACTTAATAACTTTTAACTAGCTGTCTCTTGTACTTGTACATCCAAAATCTATTTTACAGGTTTCAGTGCCACCCAAAAGTAAGGAATTAGAAACACTATATATTCCAACTATACATTTGTAGTAGGTAAAAATTAAAATTAGGTCTTTTATTTTTGTAAGACACCAAGCCAGTCTCTCAGCATCAATAAAATACATTGAATCTTTGAGGTGTTTGTTATTTCATTGTGGGTATTAGAACTTCTTTCCTGTAAATCCAGCTGGTGTTTCATTAAATAGACCCACTGAATGAATAAAATAGTCCCCACAGAAAATATAACTATCAGTTATCTCATGGTACCATGTGCTATGCTTCACTTACTGCCAAAATTAATGCTTTCTATAATCACAGTGAAGAGCACTTTCCAGTATGTTTAGCAAGGAAATAGTCTAGACTGGCAATAAATTATCCATAAATTGTTGTTTCCAAGGACATTACAGTTAAAAGGGATGACAATCTTCTGCCCATAGATCTGGTCATTTTTTGTACTGGCATAAAATCTTAAACAGAATTTGCCATTTATATTACCTTTCAAATAACAATTAATAGTAACAATCATATTAATATGTTGTATTCTCCAAGTAAAAATATAACAATATTTAGGTTAATCAGGCTGCAATCCAGAACACACCCCTTTTTCCATTTGTGACATCAGGATAATGTTTTTTAGAGTTCATTCCAAAACTAACTTGTCAGTTAATTTGCAATGAAGTCAACATTACTTACTTCTAAGTAAAAATGTATAGGATTGGGTTGGATATGAAAGGTTTTTGAAACTGGCTTGGTTCAGATGTAGAGTCAAAGCATGGTTGGGTGTTATGTTAATTAGTCTTCTGTTTGCACACTTCCGCCCCCTTCTTTTATCCACCACTTCAATTTCCTACTTCTGCTTTAGTCCAAATAATTGTTTCCTAGGATATCTGAATTGGAAGACTATGGTTGTGTTTCTCCAACAAACCAGGAACAATCCTCATTTGGAAGACAGGGCAAACTATATTTTGCCAGTTCAGATACTATAACAAACAAAGATTTGCACCAAAGTTAAAGTAAATAATTGACATGAAGTGCACAGTGGGAGGAAAAGAGTGGGATGGGGGTCAGGGTTCACAAGGATTAAGCTCACATGCATGATACCAAATTCTGGCATTATATGTGAACCAGCCCTATAATAATCTCAGGACCAGGACTTCTTTAATAGATTTATACAGACTTGTGCCTAATCCAGGGTGCTTCTCTTGTTGGACATACTGCATGAAAGTTTACTTTATTTCAAACTTGGGCATGTCTGCATTACACCAGCAAAACAAAACACAGCAGTTACTATGACAAGTTAGAAAACAGGTGGCTGGAATTTTCTATATTTTGAAGCTATTTTACATTTTCTTTGAAAAGGCCATTTCAGTCTGTTAGTTCCAGCGCAGTAGTGTACCATTCAAAATTAATGCTGGTCAGTGATTATCTGCTTACCCTTTTACAACTTCCTGCTCCTGGGGAAACCTGCTTTTCTTGAGGCCCCTTGAGATTTCATTTTACTGTTTTGCATTGGTTTGCTTTCTTCACTCAGCTAGCAACTTGTTAGCTTTGTATACCTTGAGTGTGCTTCATCCACAGACATACAATTTAGCATTCAGATTCTTGCTTCAATTGATAAAAGCTGTAAAAGGGGATAGAATCTCCATTTTGAACATTGCCTCTAAAATTAGTTGAAAGGCATTTCTAGAGATATTGCTTCTGCTTTCCTGTGCAGAAAATAGCACTTTATACAGCAGGGTTAATTACCAGTATTCCTAAGACCCTGCCCACCAGCATACTTAGCATATGGTTACTCATACCCTGATAGAAGCCAAACTCAGTCCTTATAGAGTATTTTACACCAGAGGAAATACTTAAATTATTCATAGTTTAAAATTAACCCACACATGTAAAACTCGCTATCAGTGCAACCCTGTACATGTCTACTCAGAAGTAAGCCCCACTGAGTTCAATGGGACATACTTCCAGGTAAGTGTGTATAGAACTGCAGCCTGTTACTTTCAATTTTTTTTTAAATAAAATGGGTTAGTTGATTTTTTTACAAAAAGTTGTCAATAGAGTAGATGGTTTCATGTGAACCCCAGTGACAATTAAAATATGCAAATCATTTTAATTAGTATTATAGAATAGTGTCACACTAAATATGTAATACAAATCTACTAGTTCTGCCATTCACAAACTCACTACTGAACTTTGCCTTGCTATGTGATCTGAACAACAGGCTCACACAACATGGTGTCCACCAAATGTTTTGGTCTACATCCTTTGAGCCCCAGGCAGCACAGGCATTAGCATGTAAGGGATATTGCTTAAGTGAAAATTTTCCCTTGGTATAGATCCAGGCCTGCTGCTGACTCCTGGACTTGTATCTAACTTCTATTTATATTTCACCATTCTTATATCGTGGGACATAAGATGTACATGTGGCTTCCATGTGGACTGCCTCAGGCACTGATCAGACCTGGACCAGCTTAACTTCAGAAAGGAAAGGAAATCATGCTTTTGTTTTGCGGTATGGTTTCCTGGGTGAAAAATATTTTTCAAGTATTAAGGGTATGTGTGTGCTGAGTTGGTGACTTTTTGTTTGTTTGTTGCATGCATTTCCCTTTCAAATACACAGGGATGGGGTCCCAGTCTAGGTCAAGCCCAGTATAAGATAGGGAATATATATGTACATGTACCCTTCATGCTGATCAAACCAAACAGCCTACCAGTTTACTGTAGCAAGTTGAGTGGCTGTGAGAATCTCTACTTTTTCAGAATATCCTCTTGGAGCCTGACATTGCTCACGAATGGTCTTTTTACAGATTATTCAAGCCCTTGAAATATTTATTGTACTCAGTGTTGGACGCAACTGGCATGGTGCCATCAGAAACTATCTAACATATTCTTACAACATTGTGTTGTCTGGCAAAACCGGTACTGATGAGAATGGAAGCTTTATATTGCGCTGAGCTACCATACAGCTTTCCTTTTATGAAAATAATTTGGTTTTCTTTTATAAAAATTTTTTATTTTGCAAATACAAAAAGTATAAAATATTGTCACAGTAACTATAAAAAGAATCTCCCATTCTTAACTTATAATACCATTAAATTATTACTTGTACCCCATCCATCTGACTGGGTTGCACCAGCCACTCTGGGCAGCTTCCAACAGAATACACCCACCCACCTACACCCACACAATTAAACATTAAAAACTTCCTGATACAGGGCTGCCTTCTGATGTCTATGGAAGGTTGTATAATTGTTTATCTCTCTGGCAACTGATGGAAGGGTGTTTTAGTGAGCGGATGCTCCAAGGCTCTTGCCTGGTTCCCTGTAACTTCACTTCTCACAATGAGGGAACTGCCAGAAGGCCCTCAGAACTGGACCTCAGTGTCTGGGCTGAACTTACAAATATATTAATATCAGTAGTCCATTTGTCCAAATAGATATCTAAACAAGAGCAATGATTAGAAGATATATATTCAGAACACAGAAAGGCCAGCAAGACCACTGAGTAGTGGGTGGCAGGAATCTATCCATCAATCTTTGATATAAGCCTCTTTGCAACCATAAGGGCTTGCAGAATCCAGTTTTGTTGCCCATCTGATGATCCCAACACAGCAAGAATATAATTTAAAGTGTGTGAAATATCTAGGATTTTTTAAAAAAAGTTTCACTATTTGTAAAATCTGAAAGATTTCCCTAACCCCATCCCAATACCTCGTCAACTTTTTAAAAGTTGATAATACCTGGATGTAGTAATTCATTTTCAGGCACTAATAACAAAGGTGTTCTTGATACATTCTTAGTTACCAGTAGATTAGGATGGATAATGCTGTGCTTTGTTTCACTTGGATCATTTGTACCTACTAAATGTCATTATTATTTTATTTTTTAAAAAATAATTGTCATGTTTTGTAAATTGGAATGGAAAGTATTGTCTTTTTTTATTTTTAACTATGTCCTTACAGTGTTAGAATTGGTATCAGCATTTCATATGTTGGTTGAGAATTGCAATTCTCTCAAAGAAAGAATAGCAGATTCTGTTACATTTAACCCATCTCTTGAAACACTTTGGTAATGCAGACAGCCTTATACCCTTTTTTATATGTGAGGAAAATAAAATCTGTACAAATGAGGGGCTGAAAGTCAGGTGACTGTTAAAGTAGCTATGTATACGTATATACACAAACAAATTTATTTCTGCTTTTTTCTCTTTTCAAATATGAACTCAATAAACTACCAACATTTTCCTAATTCTTCATTAAAAACATACTTTTTGTGCATTGTAGTTGGACTAATTGCTTGTGGAAGTTTTACTTCTTGTTAAAGCCACCTGGCTTTCCTCAGTAGAATTAAAAGCTACACTTACATACTTTTTCTGGTACTATTTTGTTTGGCTAATAATGTCTTAAATCAAAAGCCATATTCTTTGTACAGTATGCCTTGAGCCTTCCTCTGAGTCTGGTCTGTTTTCCCCCCTGATTTTGCTTCTTTTAAAGTGTCTATAGTTTGAAAAGCAACTCAAGTGCAGTTCACAGGGATGTAGACTTGGCAAATCAACCTCTGACTTGTGTTTACTTACAAACTGGGTTTATTCTTTATTCCTGCTTACCCATTGGAACCTGGTTACTTGTATAACAAAACAGACTGACAGTGAAAGGACAGATACTGCAGCTGATGGGGAAACCACTGCCACAGAGGTTTGTACAGTTGATAATCACATAGTTGGTAAAGAGTGTATCATGTACCTTCTCCCATCAGATCTTGCACATTAGCACTGTTTTGCCTATTATTCATGGAATAGAACACCCTTTTCAACACAATATGGGCTCAGGATCTGATACATTAATACACAATACACACACACACACACACACATTTTGCATAAATGAAGGATTTGCAGCTTTTCATCTCAAAGTACAAGTACTAATTAGAAAAGCTGCAGTTGGGTGCTATTCATGTATGTAGTATCCAGATAAAGGTAAAGGTACCCCTGCCCGTACAGGCCAGTCTTGACAGACTCTAGGGTTGTGCGCCCATCTCACTCAAGAGGCCAGGGGCCAGCGCTGTCCGGAGACATTTCCGGGTCACGTGGCCAGCGTGACATCGCTGCTCTGGCGAGCCAGAGCCGCACACGGAAACGCCGTTTACCTTCCCGCTAGTAAGCGGTCCCTATTTATCTACTTGCACCCAGGGGTGCTTTCGAACAGCTAGGTTGGCAGGCGCTGGGACCGAACAACGGGAGCGCACCCCGCCGCGGGGATTCGTACCGCCGACCTTTCGATCGGCAAGCCCTAGGCCCTGAGGCTTTTACCCACAGCGCCACCCGCGTCCCTTACAGTATCCAGATATTGGAGCCCAAATACATAAAACACTAGCAAAATGCCTATGATCATGATGAGCTAAGGTGAGGGGGTGGAGTCAGAGTCTGTATACTGAAATAGCTCCTGTAAGATACAGTGCATCTCTGTATGCTGTGCACCAAGAAACACAGTAACTTCACAATGGGATTCCTGTCAGTCTCATGCATGGAGGGCAGCTTTTTCCCTTAGCGAATGACATTCACTTATATGAAACTTAAAGGGTTTGCATGGGAAGGATTGCATTTCTCTGCCCTTTATTCTTCAGCTTCTGAGAGTGAAGCCTACTCCTATCATCCTAAGCCGTTTTGTTTCTGTGGCGTGTTTTTAAAAACTCAATGTTTCAAATACCCTTTGTTGTATATTATTTTAGAATAAAAGAAACATATTACATAGAAATAAAACAATAGCAAAGCAACCTGATGCAAAGTAACTAATTCATATAGTAGCATTACTATAGCTTGCACACAAATACAGACGGTGAATTGCCTATAATCAGAGATTTCCTAAGTGATTTACCACAAAATATAAAACAGAACAGCATACATAATAAATAAAACCAGTGCTTTTGGGGTGAGGGGGAGTTAGGTACCTGAATATTGATAAAAGTGCCTTCGGTAGCAAAAAAAAAAAAAAAAGTGACGGTAATCCATAACAGTGAACACTATCTCAACAAAAAGCACTGATTAAAAGCAACCACATAAAATTAGCATTCTTTAATTTTTTTGCTGAATTTTCACAGCACACCCAAATCCATACAATGTTGACACCTGCCTCAACTCCACTGTAACAGTGTTCCATAATACAGGGGCTACTGTGCTGAATGCTCTCAGATTTGATTTCTATTTCTGGCACATGAAACACCCCCTCAGCCCCTGGGAAGTCCACTCACAGGAAGTCTGAATTCAGCCCATAGTCTCCAGCTTCTAAACACCTTCCTAATTTAGGAAGCCTGTTCAATCCTTCTTCTGAATGTTCAGACAGAAAGAACCATCTGCCTCAGTGTTATCTTAAGATTTAAAAAACCCCATACTTAAATAAAAGTATGAATACTATTTTACTGTCCAAAACTATGAAGGTAGAGAGGAGCTTATTTGCATTTCACTGAATAGTTGGTGTTTATTCAAAACCTGCTTCAGTGCAATCTAGTCCACCCTTCACTCAAGAATCCCATTGTACAAACAATATGAAAATTGCAAGTAACAATACAAATGTAAAACAAAATAAGCCAACCAGCACCATAAAATTAATTGTACACTTTTGGAATTCACTTATTCAAGTTATTTAAACCATAACTTCCTTATTTGAGTGTCCAAGGTACACTGCAGTGTGCACATCCATGTTCTATAGGACCAGATTATTGAGATAATGTATATGAATCACTTTAAAAAGCTATTATAATTATTGTAGACATAAAGTATTTTTCCCCAATCTTTCCTATATTAACAGTCTGATCAAGAAGAAGATGGTGATCTCAAGGCACAGGTAGGTGGAAGAATGGCTTGTCTTATGCTTAATTGTTGGTACTCTTCCTCTACCAATTTACCTAGAACAGCATTTTGTATCCTTTCAGTACTATGGCCCTTACTTTTCCCTTTCTCTTTCAATTTTTTCAGAATAGTCTGATTAAGCGCATAAAGGGTGAAAATGTGTATGTCAAACATAGTAATCTTATGTTAGAGGTTGGTATTGGTATATACCAGTGCATGTACTCTCCTTGTGATTTGAATATAGTGGTTAAGCTGTGGATCTGCACTCTGATGCATGAGATGTGTATTTTCACTTGCTAATAAATACCTCTCTCTCTCCTACGATTATGACTTTCTGTTACACTGTTGTTTAGGACTGTGTTTGTATATATGTAGATCAGGGGTATGTAGATGTACCTCTTAACAGGTAGAATATGTATAAAATCTGACCATCCTAAGAATATTTGATGCTTAATGAATTAGGACCACTTTACACATTGCATTTTGAAGTAAGCCTATAAAATCTTTTCCACATATGTGTAAAAACATAAAGTAGAAATGCCTGTTAATAGAGGTAAACTTGCCAGGGAGCTGGGACTAGCTGCAGAGATCCCTCACAAGTGTACCCTGAGCGGCAAGGGTGAGTTTGCCACCATGCTATGTGCAAAGTGTCCTAAGAGTTTATATGTAACTATCCTTTGAAACACCACAGTTCCCCGAGAGTGTTGTGTTAGTGTTGTGAGACATAATCTTGTCAAGGCTTCTTTTGCTGACTAACGCACATGACTTGGTTTTTTTTTTTTCATATCTTGTCAATTTAGATAAAGTAGGTATTTTTAAAAATGCTGTTTTTCTTTTTTCTTTTCAGGAACTAGATAAAAACCAGGAAGACCTGATGAAACACCAGACCAATATAAGTGAGCTGAAACGGACATTCTTGGAAACTTCCGCAGATACCTCAGGGACCAATGAATGGGAGAAGAGGCTTTCTACATCACCAGTCCGGCTTGCTGCAAGACATGAAGAAGCTCCTATGATTGAACCACTTGTGCCTGAAGAGGTGATCTTTCTGTCCTTCAACCTTTAACTGTCCAGTAAAACTTTCATAGTTGCTTAATAGGCCAACCAATTTCAATTAAAAAAAATGCATATGTTAAATTAGGTTGCCATAAATACCAGTTAGGGTACAAAATTGCCAAGATATGCTAAAGATCTGAAACAAAAATATTTTTTTTTTTTTTGGTAGCTGGATGAAAAGAAAAGATGGTAGAATTTTATTATTCTACCAAGCAAATCTAGGAGGTAAATTGGTCACAGATCAGCCAAGCATAGAGGATTCCTGTTCCTGAATTCATAACATATACAAAGCATAACCCAGTCAAGATCATTATTTGTTGCTAACCCTCAGGGGACCAGTCTCCTACATGCCTCCCCACCTCTACTGTAGGGAGACCTATGGCCCTGTAGAAGAAACACCCCCCATAAGGTAACTGGTAGCAGATGAAAATTAGTTACAGACTGCTGACAGGGAATTAGTTTGCATCCTGTTTTCATTCATAATTTTAGGAACGTCTGCAGGCACTGTGCAGTCCCAGGATTAGGCATCCCTTAGACCACTGAAATCAATGAACTTAAGAATGGCTAGTTCTACATAAGATGAGCTGTTAAAGCCAGCATCTGAAATGCTAGCTTTGATGGACTTGATTCTCTCCCCACATTGCTCAAAAATCAGTTTTCTCCTTTGCTTGTTAAGCAAGATAGCTCGGTAAGTGACTGGGGAAACACAGCGAGATGGGCAGGGAATGATGATGATGATGATACTTGTGCCATAGCAAGTGAAAAGATAAGGTATGTTTATTAAAGCTCATATATTTATGCGTCCCCCATTCCCTCTTATTCATTAGACCAAAGAAGAAAGAGAAAAATCTGAAAAGCGTATATTTTTGCAGAAGGAAAGCACTGCATACCTTGATTCTCAGGTAAAAAGCAGCACACTTTCTTATGATTCAAACAGGCCACATTTTGTGGTACTGGCTTGATAAACACATCATACTCCTTTTTCTAAGCAATTTTCTATTTTAAAAAGTCAGTAGCAGATGAAATTGTCAAGCAGAATGCAAGACTAAATGAATACATTGCAAAGGTCTGTGAAATCTGCAGCTTAGAATCCCTTTGTTCGCATTTGCATGTGTAAATGTCTCATTGAAAATACTATGCTGTGTTCATCTGGAAGGGGTGGGGTTCATGTCCAATCCCAGCTTCTTCATGAATATTCTCATTATCATACACGTTTGAACACATTCACTTGCTGTTGCCAGATGTTAATGTTTATTGTCAATATCTGTAAGTATGCAAGTATGGTGCCCCCAATCAAAGATCCTAATAGGATTCAAGAGAGTCAATTTTCTCTTCTTGTTCTTCCACATGCGAATATATTCAGGCAGGGAGAGAGGCTTACAGGGAAAGGTTGCGCACATACCCATAACATCGCTCGCCTCTCTCCCTATGCTTGGTCAAGTTCTTCAGAGGGCACGTATCCTAAATGACATATTTGTTCAAGCTAAGCCCCAGACTGCCCTAAGGCAAGGATTCCCAGCCAGTTTGGACACCTGAATTTTGGGAGAGTGCTCTGGGTGCCAGTGATGAAATGGATGCCCTAGGGGTGTGGCATAACACAAAATTAGAGAGGGTGCAGTTATTGTTGCTTCTCTCTCCTTTCCCCTAACAACCTCCTGCTTGCCACAGGAAGTCAGCTATGTCCTGCTGGTCCTAATCGTGGAGATACAGCTGAAAGGCGCATTAACCCTGGTTCCCCCAATTCTAAACCTAAACCAAAGCCTCAGCTGCCCTCCTCTATCCACTTACTTGGGTGCAAGCTCCATTAAACACAAAGAGACCTACTTTCGAGAGCCAGTGTGGTGTAGTGGTTAAGAGCGGTAGACTCGTAATCTGGTGAACCAGGTTTGATTCCCCACTCCTCCACATGCAGCTGCTGGGTGACCTTGGGCCAGTCACACTTCTCTGAAGTCTCTCAGCCCCACTCACCTCACAGAGTGTTTGTTGTGGGGGAAGAAGGGAAAGGAGAATGTTAGCCGCTTTGAGACTCCTTCGGTTAGTGATAAAGTGGGATATCAAATCCAAACTCTTCTTCTTCTTCTTCTTCTTTTGAGTAGACAAATATATCACTATACTGTAAGTTAACTCTTCTCCTTTAGTGATCACTCGTAGCCGTGTAAGATTGTCTTCCATAAACACAGTTTTAACAATGAGTCCGTAAGTGACTGTGGAGGCCAATTAACTATACAGCGAATGAGTACATTGAGTTTGAGTCCTAACGTTCTTTGCAGAGTTTTCACATTTTGTATTTGCCACTTGAGAGGATTCTTTAACTTCCATCTGTACTTATAGTACAATAATATTTGCAGAAAATAACTTCCAGGGAGTAATTGATCTCAGATGTACCCACCACAGAAAATATTCATACTGTTTGCTAAGAAAAGAGTAAAGAGCAAGCTATACGGATTCCAAAAACCCTGTAAAATAAGACAAAGCAGGAAAAGTGCACAAAGGAGAAGGGGAAGAAACAGCAGTTCTTTAGAGATTCCAGAGATTCCTCTGTTCCACAGATATTCCTATTGCCCGGTGTTACTCACTTACCAAAACCACTCTGAATTCACACATTGACTAGAAACACTGACAGGTTGGCTAATTACACAGAAATCACATAGAAGGGTATCTACACATTTTGCTTCATAACTTTCTTTCTAGGAAGGATAGAGAAAGCTCAAAATCTGGGGCCGCTGTTGGGGACACCACTCAATAACATTTCAGGTGACACGTTGGTGACCCCTATCCTAGTGCTGTCCTAGGTCATTTCTCATGCAGTCATGTTTGGGGAAAGGGGGTAAATAAATTTATGAGAATCCCTTCTGTGCTCATGTGAGAAAGGATCATACCTTTGTGAATACTCTTTAAAAAGTAATGTAGAGCAACTTGTAGACTTCTCCCCTAGCCAGTGGAACTAAAGGTTAAGTTGCAAGAGGGAGATTATGTTGACCACTTCTCAGCAAACAAGGATCCAGTTTGTCTCATTCAAACTCTGTAATACTTGCACACCAGTTTTAAACATTTATTGCTGGAAGTAAGTGCAAATTATTTCATTGCTACATATTCTAAGTATGCATGTTTGGGACTTAATCCTTAGAATGTAATGTATACTGAATAGAAAACTGTACAATACTGTAAATAACTTCTGATAAGACTACCCTGCAATATACAATATTTTCAGTAGTCAATATATTTTAAGTAAATTTGTTTAGGAATAATAATGTGATGTTCCTTCTTATATTACTTATGTTGTTAAGTTTAGTTTCTACAAGTTGAAATACTTAAGATGCCTACAGACTTTTGAAAACTACACAGGATAAAATGTATATCATCTCTAGATGGCTATTGTACTTTCTTAAAAGGTATTATATTTTAGTTTCCTAACACAAAGGTAAACCACTAGTTGTTCTAATTTAGCTTTTATATTTCAAATATAGGGCACTGAGGATTGGGTTATTGTAGACAAAGTACCCACTGAGGTAGTTGATGGTGAATCGAAAACCATTGTGACATACAAAGTAATGACTGTGAGCAGTAAAACTGGTGACATCCCTGGCAAGCTTTTAAAATCCACTGACATACAGAGCTTTGAGGACTTGGAAGGTGAATTGCAGTCGAAAGACTACAATAAACAGAAAATGTACACCTTAGGAAAATCCTACGATACTGTTTCTGGGAAAATTCTAACCATGACCACTAAAGTAAAAGAGGGAGAAAAAATTGCGCCATCATCACTCGAAGCATTTCAAAAAATGGAAAGGGCAGTGCCAGAATCTGTGAAAATCATTCCTGTAGTAGCAGAATATGAAATTCTAGAACCAATTACTGATGAGAGAGCCAGAAAATTATCTGAATCAAAAAGAAGGGTATCTGAATCTTTGACACCTATTAAAGAGACAGACTCCCGGCTGCAGAGCCCTGAAGACGAAAGTTTGAAGAAGACCTTAAAGATGGACCAGGATTTGCAGTTGCGTGATACACTGGGCAGCATACAGATTTCCAGAGCTGAGAAACCTCTTGACAGTGAAAGACTAAAAGGAGAGGCATTTGGTCGGAAAGAAAAGAGTATATCTGAGTGGAAGTATTCCAGAGAACCACCCTTGACCATTGCTACTGCTCACTATGTTACTGAATCATCAGCATCAAGAGTGGTGGTAACATGCAACTTTGCCACAGCTTAAAGATAAAAGCATGACTTCTTTAGGCAATACCCTCACTACCCTGCCTTTCGGTCCTTTTGCTGCCTGGCTTTATGTTGACAACAGCCAACCCAGCTTCTTATTATTTCCTCATGGTTTAAGCCAATTAACACGATACAAACCAGGCATTTTTAGGCTTTCAATGTTACTGAACAGTAGTATGCTGCTATGGCTTGTTTTGGAAGGGGGGAAATACTTCACAAGACCAGCAAAATCCTAATGCTAACAACTTTGGTTTTTTTTTAATTTTAGATTACTGCTTATAGTCATTACAGACTTGTGCTAATTTATTTTCCCATTATTTTCCTCTCTGTATCCCCGCCACTTTACCTCCTTTCCTTTGTCTGTCTGTTTTTGTCTATTAACATAATGTGTGTGTATGTGTGTGTGCGAGTGCGTATCTGCTTCTATTTGTGTGTTTGTGCTTGTGTGTGACTCTACATTTTTCTGTCCATTTAGACAAAACAGCTCTCCGGTGAAAAAGCTCTGGATGGTTCAGATATCTTCACTTTAATAGAGTCTGCAAGAAAACCAACTGAGTTCATAGGAGGGGTTACATCTACTTCACATAGCTGGGCACAGGTGGCCATTTGATTCCATCTTTAGATTTTATTATTATTTTACCCTGATGGGACTGGGGATTTTTTAAAAAAACACCTTTGTGGTGATAGTTGGATTTTTATTTTGCACGTAGGTGTACTAGTGTTACTTTATATACATTACTATCTTCAAAATCTGCATGGAAAATATAACACCATATGCTGATTAGCTTTCCCCTCAATTTAGATCACACATAAAACCCTGAAAAGAACAACCGGGTGTTTTCTGTTGTTTCATTCTGAGCTGTTTAATATATTGGAAGTACACTGAGACTTTAAATGAGTATTTCAAATGAGGATAAATTACATTCTGTTAACTTTTGTACCACTATCCAGTTTTTGAGAACTCAAGCAAACACCCTGTATAATGGAAAAAAGCAAGCAAAACAAAAAAAAAATTGGCCAAGACTAATATGCTTTAGCATTGTAGTTATACGCCACATTAGCTTTTGATATCAACTTCTTTTCCCTGCAGAGAACAGAAGCTAAAACCGATCAGGAGATACATTCTAGTGAGAAGAAGACAGAGGAGGAGAAGCAACAGGAGGCTGTGAAGAAGGTTGTGCAGGAAACTGTAATGGTGGAGGAGAGACATGTGATGAGTGTGCATGCAAGTGGGGATGCTGCTAAATTGGCTGGCGTTCAGCTGGATACTACAGCAGAGGCAATATCGCATGTGGCTTCTAGCATCAAAGGGAAGGAGGGCTCTGCTGTGACTGAGGGGGCTAAAGAGGAAAAGATGCAGGAGGCTGAAAAAGCTTTAACCAAACAGGAAGAAACTGCTACTGTATCTCACGATCAGGAGGAATGTGCAGCAGCCCATGCTTTGGATGCACTGGAAAGAAAACCTCTTTTTGAGGTAACTAAAAATATCTGAGCAGCCAATTCTGCACAAAAGCATACATTTGTGTCCTCTTTAAATTAGATTCACTAACAAAGTGTTAAAACAAATGCTAGATGGTTATTGTAAGCAGTTTGTTTCTCACTTTAAATGACATAGTCATGTGTGATGGTTTCCTAGCTGTGATGGCTTCCATGTAAAAAAATTGAGTTTAGACCACATGTACACAATTGCATGCAATTAGCACTGCATGTTCGTGAGATGAAATACATGTGGCAATATTCACATGGTGTACAAGCTGTTCTCCTACATGATGGTGTGTGTTCTGTGTAGCAAATGTCTCATGATGCAGTCCATGTTTTCCCCCTTGCATGGCAGCCTTGAGGCTTGTTGCTGGTTTCATTTATTTTATTCTATTGTTCTTTGGGCATCATGCAGTTTATAAAGAAGATTCCATAGTGCTGAGGATCAGGGACTATCCATGTTGGTATTGCAATGGATCTTACCTGATCCTTAGCCTAAGGATATTGCTGGCTGTTCCCTGGAAACATCAAGATCTGTCACTTTATTTAGGCACTAGATATACTTGTCAAAGTTGCGAAGAATGGTCTCTACTGTATAGATTTCTCAGCTCATTAATAAGAATCCCCCATCTCTCAAATTGCTATGGGTATAAACATGGATTTGATTACACATGGCATATGTTAGTGAAAGAAAATAAGTTTAAGCTAGTCTGGGCTACAACCAAATGAAAATTAAGGTATGAAAAGTCCATAGCTGCCTATTTTCTAAAGATGGCTCCAAATAAGTATAGTCCTGAAAGAGATATAAATAGTACTTTAAAGTGCTTATGATATGTTTCTGAGTATTTCTTTCTGTATAATAGAGATCCTTTTTCCCTTGCTGTAGCAGAGGACATTTCTTTTACATTTTCCTTTGCAATTACTACAAAACTTTAACTACTTTGATATATCATGCAATTACCTTTTTTCATTGAAACAGTCACCAATTGTGAAGACTGAGTCAGTCAGTTTTGGCAGTGTTTCTTCAGGTGGGGAGAAGTTGGAAATTTCTATGAAGGAAGTGCCCATCGTTCATACTGAAACAAAAACCATTACATATGAGTCCTCAGAGGTGAGACATAACATAACACAGACAGATGCTATGAAGGTGCTAGTAGCGACATACCAAAGCCAATGCAATGTGTGTACAAAATCTAATTGAATCTGGACTAAGAGACGTCCAATATAATTTTGAACGTCCTTACTGGTGCTGTAAATCCCATTTTTGTTTTTTTAAAAATACTTTAGAATACACTTTAGATAATATTGGCATGTTTGTGCTAAAGAAATAAATATTTAAGAAAGGATACAGGTTAAACTTCATATTTCAATTGTCAAGTTAGCTTTATATCATGTTTTCAAAGGCTTATTCAAGGGTTTTTTCTAATTTGCATAGAATGCATGCAACATTTTCCTAATTATGACTCACAATCAAGCTAGCAGGAGTGAAAGATGAATGGTATGTTAATTATATTAAAATAATAAGGAAGCTGTTTGCTCTGTGATACATTGTTATTTGGTTTTCAGTGATAAGGAAATTGCCATTCCCTCTGTGTTTCGGTACTAACAATTGTAGCCTTTTAAATCCCAGGTTAAATGAGCATTTTCCCCACTGTACACTAATACATTCAGATGATTAACAATATTTCCATCACATTAGGGTAATAGTTGCTTGCTTGTTTTAGGCGGATCCTAGTGCTGACTCTGAACCAGGAGTTCTGATGAGTGCACAGACCATCACATCTGAAACTACCAGTACTACAACTACTACACATATCACTAAAGTAAGTTTCACTGAACTCTGCTTTCTCAAATATGTATTTGTTTTGGAAGACAAAACTTTGTGTTTCATAATTATTTTTAATTTTTTCAATAAAGTTTTTAATTAATTCAGGAAAGACATAAAAGAGTGTCAGATCTGCTGCTGTGTCTATACACACGTCATATTGCATCTTACATGCATATTCACAAAGCAGTTGATTTAGCGATATTTACTAGAAACAGTTGTGCATCTCAGATGTTATTGCAATGGCCTTTCTTGGCTTAATTCTGAAGAATTCAGTAGTGACCAGTAATAACCATTATTATCTCATATGCTTACAGGCACAAGCAACAGCCACACAGTTCATTTGTAATTATTTGTAATTATAATGTCTGTTTTTGTTTACACAGATTAGCTGACAAAGAATAAGATGTATTGTGGCTTTAAGTGCCAATACAGAAATGGAAAAGAAGCAGTGGTCCATTGTGAACAGTTACACAGAGTACCCTCCCCACTTTGCCTGGACCATATACTTTTTAATAGATTTTATTAGTTTGTATTTTATTCGGTTCAGTCACTTTGAGCTATTTATTTCTGTATAAAACAACTAATAAATGCAACAGCAACAACGACGACGATGGTGGGAAAATGAAAGGTGTAGCACAGAGTGATTGCTGTCCTGATCCAGGATGAACATTTAGCAGAAAAGCAAAACTGCTCCTTTATCTCAGGAACCATTATGCAAAATTTGGTTGCAGTATATTAAGAAGTGTCCAAAACTGCATCACAAACAAACAAGCAACATTACAAAATATATATTAGATACAGATTCTACAGAAATACATTTATAATTGATGTCAACCACTTTGAAACACTCAACATACATTTCTTTCAGCAAAACTCAAATAAGGATTTTCCCCTTCTTTGAAGAGCAAAAAGTATGTTTTATTTGAAGCCTACATTTGTTCCTTCCCTTTAGACAGTGAAAGGAGGCATATCAGAAACAAGAATTGAAAAGCGAATAGTCATCACAGGAGATGCAGACATTGACCATGATCAGGTATGATCTATAAGCAACTAAAACTATCCATAAGCTAATCTGCTGTTTTTAACTGTAAACCGGAAAAAGCAGTATTAGTACTGGCATGCCTTTAAATTAAACTGGATTATTAGTACTTAGATCAAAGATGAAATTCCTATTTTGAATCACTTTTCCTCATTTGCAAATTGTGTAATTTATCATGAATCTCTCTTCACCTTGCTACTGATCATGCATGTTCCACCTCCTTCTTGTTTTTGCCCTTCTGTGGTTTCCTTGGGCTAGGCGCTGGCTCAGGCAATTAAAGAGGCCAAAGAGCAGCACCCTGACATGTCAGTGACCAAAGTAGTGGTACATAAAGAAACAGAAATCACACCTGAAGATGGGGAGGATTGATCACAGGTAAGAAGATGAGATTTTTCCCAGGCACTTGTGGGCTGGCATGTGTCAAAGATCATTTCTTCCTTCATAGTTCATCTCTAACCCTTTCTATTTATTCTCTCTGGCATTTGTGAAAACAGTGATTCTGAAAGTTATGTTTTGGGGGCAGAGCTTTCTCCCACTCTCCCTATTAATGCCAGTTAGAGAAATAGAAGAAACCCATTTGCTTCTGTCTGCTTGCTAGTTGCTATGCATTTTCCGCAATCCAGTATCTTGCTCTGTAATTTCCAAAGCTGAAAAGACTGTATGCATTTGGCTTGTGGGGGAAGGGAAGCATTTCATAAAATAATGTCATAAAATTTTTAGACTTTTGTGCAAAGCTGTTCAGGTATGGTTGACATTTCGTTTAAATTATATCATTTTCTCGGTTTTACTGAGAAATAAGTGCTGTATGAATGTCTTTGTCTCTGTTTGTGTTCGTCCCAAATAATTACATTATTTCTTGAAGGGAGACATTCATAGTTTTTCTAATTGCTGCAATTCAATAAAGGCATGCTTACAAATTCTGGCTAAATGGGCATCTTGGAAATGTGTCAGTTACTGAATGCATGTGCTAGAATATATTGTGCATACTAACATGCTATGCAAGAGCTCTTATTACTACATCATCTGTAGGTGGCTTTGAATGCTGTGTGCAAAAACAAAGGAGGGGAAAAAGACTTTTCTGCTTTTTTGAATCGACAGCATAATTTTCAAGCAACAAGTATTCACAAATAATGATATAAATTATGTTTTCATATGGAATATTAGGACAGTGCATTGTGTAGCCTTAGCAGATTTACAAACTGCTGGCTAGAAGTGTGGTAATGATAGAAGAGGAGACAAAGCTGTTCTGAGGTGAAAGGCAGGGCCAGTAGATCAGTACCTGACAGAGAAATAACATCCTTGGTTAGGCCCATTTAGTAAAATTAGAGCTAAAGATAATTTTCTGTTCCGAACATTCAACAATTGTTTCAATTCAATATACCTTACTGAATCTGACCATTGGTCCACCTGGCCTAGTACTCATTGGCTTTCCTGAGGTCTCAAGCAGGATCTTTCCAGCCTATCTCCTTAGTTCCTTCAATAGGAGATACCAGGGATTGAATCTGAGTTCTTCTCCATGCAGAGTACGTGATTTACTACTGTACTATAGCTCCTTCCCTATTTTTAAACTCTTTAAATAATTGAGATGCAAATTTTATTTGCATATCTTTTTATTGATCTAAAATATCCAAGGGCTTTGTTTTGTCTACTGTCTAATCATTTATAAAAAGATAGATCCCTGTCCTCATAAAGCTCAGAATCTTAAATTAATTCAATCATAATTTAATGTATTCTGTATATTGTTCTAGAAAAAAAACATATGAGCCTGAAACATTCCTCATACAAATTATAATCTCATTAACTGCAATTGGCTTTGAATCTGGTCTTAATTTTAGTGGCAATCATTGTAATACTTTTGTTTTTTTTACTGCTTTTAATGAGTTGCTTCCAGATCTTAACTACACTCTCTCTACTGCAGGAATAAAGTAGCTTCCTTATGAATTCAGTCATACGTGGGAATACCAGAGCCTACAATCTTGGTTCTAATCCAGCAAGCTTGCATCTCTCCAGAGAAATTTTCAATGTGGAAGAATCAATCTTGATTGTTACTAAAGACACTGGCAGAAATATCGTCCCATTTACAGCAATCTGAATCAGCATTAGCAACCCAATATTTGCATGAAGCAATGAACAAATTACAAAAAACACAGCATTTTAATTTTCCTAAACTAAGTTTCCATCTATACCTGCACGTTCATCAACAATATAAAACAGTGATCTCATGCTACACATGAATCAGTTCATGCCTTCAGTTATTGAAAATCTAAACAAACCACAGTTTCTTAGGTGGCAAAACTTTTGTTTAGGGTAAGTGAAGATTGCCCTGAAATGCTAGAAGCTGTATAGGTACTGTGTATAATGTTTTATCACGTTAGATGTGCCAATAACACACACTGTTCAGTAAACAACTTGAATCATATAATTGTTTTCATCTGGTTTTATTACTCTTGTCCAATAAACAATGGCAAATCGCTAATCTTATTTAAATGCTTACAAAATGTGCTTTGTTTACCTGGTTTGAGACCTTTAATAGATAGTAATAATTTTAGCATTGTTCAGACTTTAAAAGTAGAAATTCAGTCACCCTTCACAAACCCTCATTCTATAAATTACGTTGTGGTTATTTTAAAGAAAATGTGTGTTTTCCTTACCATTTCAGAAATATTAGTCTGATTTTTTGACATTTTTTGTATTGATTTCCCTTCTGTTCTCAGAGAAAAATGTTTATTTTCAGAGTCTGGTCAGCATTTCCTAGGTCAGAGTTAAGCCTTAAACTGTACAGAACACCTACTAAACATTATTTGGTATTGGTTATCACAATCACTTGAGGGATACTGTCTTCATTACACTGTCAGTCACATCACAACACATGGTGAATGTATGTTTCTGCATAGTGAAATAAAAGTGGTAAACGCACCAAAATTTGTATTTGTCTATGTCTAAAAAACATGTTTTCTGTATTCAAACATCAATACCATTTGTTTAATGTAACAGGCATTTTAATGTGCATTACAGAGACATTCTTCTAATTGACCACAATATGGTGTTTAGATGGGTACAAATAGAAGAGCAAGCCTAAAGAAATATTGTACAAATATATTCCTTCTGTACAATTTTTGCACATACAATAGGTGCCCTCTAATTTCTTGTGTGAAATTTAGCTCTGTAATGTGCTTCATGTTAGCGAAAGGTAATAGTACAACCAGCTAACTATTTTTGAGTATTAGCTTAAATATATATATATTATATTTTCTATTCTAAAACTTTAGAGCACTATTTGTTTCAGCAAATAATCTGGGCACAATCTAGCCATAGTTAAGCACTTCTAAGTTCCACTCCAATAAGAGAGTTAAGTGTGTGCTTCATGTTCTCTTGCTAAAAGCTGTGGGACTTAAAACTACTTAATTTGGGCCGGGTCATGTCCTTTACTGTTTTGATTTAGCTTTCTATTCACAGTTCATTCATGGTGTCCTTTCATTGAAGGAAAAAATGAAAGTCTATTTTTTAGCCTTTGAAATACATAAACAGCCATCTGTATGGCTATTTTTACTGATAAAGGCCAAATTCACAGATTTCCAACTGAATTGAGTGGTAGGAGCTTCTGTGAAGTAAAACTGACTCGTTAGCACAGATCAAAAGTTTAAAAAAAATATTTTTAAAGAGTATATATCAAGAGAAAATAATCTATAGATAAATTATATAAAAATTAAGAACCATTGTCCAGTAGTGTTTGCATGTGTGGAATCTCAGGCCAAGTTTAGGTGCTCACTCCACCCCAGTGATCATCTATAGGAGTACGCAGGGCCACCATGGGCTTGTGACCCAGCTGGAATGCATGGTGGTTGATAGTATAAACTGGCACCTATGAGCGAGCTAATACATGGCCATCACATTTTCTGTGATTCCAATGGCCAGGAGCAAGATAAATAATGGCTGCTTGATGTCTAGCTCACAGGTGGTGTCACATTCTCTCAGCTAGGTCACAAATCTGCCACTGGCCCTGTACACATCCACAGGCTGGGATCGGTTTGCTAGCCATTTCATTGATGCCCAATATGCTGGGGACAGCTCCATCCTTGTGTCCCCTTTGTTCACTGCAGCTCCTACAAAGCTTTCAATTGGGATGAAGGTTTTGTCTTGTCTTTGGGACCTTCTTCTTGGAACTATCTTCCACATTCTATCAATAGGCATATTTTAATAAGTGACTCCTATATCTGTAAATATAATGGAGAAATAGCTAATATACTTAGCTAACCCAGTGAAAATCACGATCAGGTAATGCAGAACAGTGAAAATTTTGCAAAATACATTCCCAGTTGAATAGGTAGCTTTCTGTATAAGAATGCAATTCTGATTGCATTGAACACAATGGGATTTACTTCTAAATGTGCATGATTGTGCTGTAAAGTGTTTCTTTTACTCTAATAACACATGTAAGTTGGTGCACCTTCTACTATCCTACATAATTAATACAGACATTACTATGTTGTGTTTCCACTCCTACCTGACTCACAGGAACTCTCTTCCTCCTATAATGTAGGAAGCAGCCCTCATCCAATCATTTTAAATTAATTTATTGTTGAAGATTTCCTATTTGCATATTTAACTTGTTCCTTCCAGCCCAATCATATTCTGTTACATAGTGAACAAGCATAGATTGATTAGTTATGTGAGGCTTTAGATTATCTGTTTCTTTCCCTCGTCATATTGTGCTGTTTTGGAATAGAGTATCCAAGTATAATCTTACATTTCTGTGAATGCCAAATCAGCTTTTTACCTGTGGCAGCTGTTGATGGGATAGTAGACCATTTGTTAAGGCATCAAGCATTTAAAAATAGATTCTGAAACCAGATTCCTTTTCCATTGTCACAATATTTGCTTTGTAAGCCTTTCATATTGATTTTAATGAAGAGTGGGTTATAAAACAGCCAAAAAAATAAATAAGTACTACTTGGCCAGTTTAACTGATACGTCCCATGATAAAAGTATCTTTCCTTCAACAGGTCCACTATTCCATTTGTAACAACACGTTCACATAGCTCAGTTTCAAACTTCCTATTAAAATGTGGGAAAAGTTATTTTTAAGTGGCTGAAAGGTGGATTCCCAGAACTAGGTCAGGTCATAGTGAAAAACAGTATCAGCTTCTTTCAGACAATCAAACAGTGGTTCATGTGACAATGTTATACCTTCAGTTGCCGCTACACTAGGCTTCCCCTATGTAGTCTCCATATGTTTTGGACTACAACTCCCATCAGGCGTAGTCACAATGTTGAATAATTGGGGGAAATGGTAATTGTAGTCCAAACACTTGGAGAGTACCAGGCTTGGGAAAGCTGCACTACACAAGCAATAGTATCATCATAATTATTTTGAAGCACGGCATCAGAATCCACCCAAAGGATGCAATCCTAAGCACACAACTTAGGGGGAAAGCCCCACCGAACACAGTGGTGTTTACTTCTGAGTAAGCGTGCCTAGGGTTGTTCTGTATTGTTCTGCACAGAATTTGTGCTTGGACAGTAACCTTCTGTCCATGATTATTGCTACATTGCCTACATTTTAGCATGGCATATCAAAATAAGAACGCTATCAAAAGCTAATTCATTGATTTATAAGATTTCTCTACTTCAAAGGGGTACTCACTGCTAGAATAAGAATGAAGTGCACAATGATGGCTCAATGTTAGTGAACTTTGTGTGGGGGTACTTCCTGGGAAATAAATGTTTCTTTTTGATAGATTGTTTTTTGGGTTGACTGCCCAATCCTGTGCCAGATGAAATAAAAAGCTCTTGCCTGTTTCTAACAGCTGCCTTTTGTCTCAGTCTTTTCTTGTTTGTTGGTCTTCATCCAGCTCTTATGCATGTAGTGATCCATACAAAGTAACTGTAACAAGACTAGCCTTGTTTGAAGGCATCATTCTTACACAGAACTATACAAGGGCAAATCTTCTAATTACAACAGGGATCATAATTTCTGAAGATGCAGCACTGTGGGTTGTCAGTTCTGCCTTATTGTGATAAAGGGTCATGCCACATAGCCAGAGAGTAGTAAAATTGGGGTGTGTGTCAGCAAATACATACAGCATATGTACATGTCTACATATAGTCGCCAGGATCCACAGACCTCAGGTGAAAAGTACATTTGCATGCAGATGGAAGAAAGGATAGTAAGTTCTTGTTTTCTTATAAAAATGCTATGTCCGATAGAAGGGTGCCCTAAAAGCAATTGGGTGAGATTTCTGGCATCCTGAAAGGCTACAGCCAGAATGGGGGAACTGAAATGCAACATGTTGCATTTTGAATTCCGAATCAACATGTTCCAGTCTGAGACTTGCAGGTGTAGGGCAGTATATAAATTCAATAAATAAAATAAAATACTCCTAGAAACAAATTAACAGCCATGTTTCTAAACGCTGAGACTATGAAAGAAACTAAGCTGAAGGAATATAAGCATTTTTAAATGTGCATTTATATGTTGAAGGTCAGCTTTAAAAACTGAACCTTAGCTGTCTTCATGAAGAAATCATTTAATAAACTGGATAATTGTGATCAACCCAAAACTGCATATTTGAACTGGTCACATTTTTCTGGGTTTGGGCCTTTTTAAGCCAAGTCCTTTTATGTTTTCTTCCAGTTTTTATCCCATCCTTCCTCTGGCCATAGACACTGTCTTTATCCTTTGTCCATGTTCCCAAACCCTCCTGCTTCTACTGCCAGTTCAGCAGCTTCCTGCTCCACCAATTCTCCATTTCTGCATATAACTGATCCTTTAGATCACAACTAATTTTCTTGTAAGGGCTGTATTTGCAATCTTCTGCCTCTCCTGCCCCACCTTCTGTCAGGATTCCTGTCTCTACTCATATTTATATTAAAATAGCCATAAATGTCTTGGATGAGTTCACTGATTGCCGCAATAAAATAAAATAAAAAATTCTGGTTATTCCAAAATGGAAGGGTATAGTTATTACATTGCAGCATGAGAACATACCTTCTAACATTCCTCAGATGAAAATAGGGACATTTCTCACTCCCTGCCACCTGACCCTTAACAGCTCCCCATTTTTGTCCCCTCACCACAGCATTCCATATCAGAAGAAGGGAAAATGCTACCACCACTACACCAATGGGACACAGCACACACCCCCTCCACTGTTCTGAGAAAACCGCTTAATCCTGATTTTATAAATTTTAGAAGGGGGCAAGATTAGACGCTGCCACACAAAGCATTTTTTTAAAAACAAGACTTCAGTCTCCACTCCACTGTAACTTTCTTCCCACCCAGGGCAGCCCTGCCCACGCCTGCCACTCAGAGCTGGCGTATCATGCAGGTCTGGGTCCACTCTCCAGCAGCTATGAAATGCCCAATGAAGGAGGCCAGCAGTAACAGCCACAGAGAGGCAATTGGATGCTCCCTCGCCACCCCCATTGTCATAACTCGGGACAAGTGCCAGCACATCCTACTCCCTGAGCTCAGCAACAGCAACACTAGCAGAGGAAAAAGGAACATTCTGGGATCAAATCAAAATCCAGAATGGCTTTCATTATTCTGGGACTGCCCCTGGAAATTCGGGACATTTGGAGGGTATGTGAGAGAATCATAACTTGAAACAGAAGGCCACAATCCAGTGCCTTTTATTTAGCATGTATACTGCATGTTCTCTGCTTTGGAAGCGGTATATAATAATTACTAAACAATAAAACAAGGTCCATGTACTTAAGAAAGCCAATGTAGTGAAATGTTTATAATTGTTAGACTAGGTTCCAGGAGACTCAAGGCAGCATTTCACAATGTGTGGGGCGGTGCCTGGCTCTCTTAATAATTTATTATTTTGCATTTTATTATTTTATTATTTTTTGCAACAAGCCCCAATGTGTTCAGTGTGGTTTCATTACAGGTTCATAGAATTGTACCCAATCTACATAGACCCCAGCTACTTCAACTTCATTCAGAAAGCAACAAAACATGGACTCCAACCTTTTATTGTGTCCAAAACACAAGGCAAGTTGATAATTCATAAGGTGTTTTTCATGGTATTAGATACTGTACATGAATTACACTTCAAAAATCTGACAGAAACAGCTGTAATGCTTTCTCAATGTGTGCAATAGCCCTACGTTCAAGAGACAACAGGAAACAAAATAAGTTCAGTGGGGGGAAAACCTGTATTTTAAAATAAAATCCCACTTAAAAATTAGCATACAGTCCTATTAAAGCAAGTGTGGCCAGATGAGAATCTGAATGCTCAGCCAGTCCTTCTACCACCTTTCTATTCTACACTGAGCTTTAGCTCAGTTGGTACCGCATGAATACTCTTAACCTCAGGGTCAAGGATTCAAGCGCCACACTGGGAAAGAGAGTCCTGCATTGCAGGGGGTTGCATGATCATGGTCCCTTCCAACTCTACAATTATATGATTCTACGATTAAACATACAACCCCTAACATACAACAATCTCATACAAATCCTAAACAGGACCAGTTCTGCACTAGGGTAAACCTCAATCACCATTCTGCGGAAACGTCTTCACAAAATTCACCTGTTTCAGCTTTAAATAGCAAAACTGAAAGTCTATGGCGCTGCTTCCAAATGATTTCACAGCAAAAAAAAATTCACTGGTCAAAGAGCTTTTGGAAATACGTAGCAATCGGGCCTTTTCTGAGGTGGCTCACTGCTTGTGGAATGCTCCCCCCAGAGAGGCTCACCTTCATTACAGTATTTTTAGGTGCCAGTTGAAAATATTTCTCTAGAACCAGGCCTTTGGGTAAATAAACCATCTACGGTTTTTAAACACATTTGTGGAAGTGGGGGTTACTGATTTGTTTTTGTTGTTTGTTACATATTTAGTATTATCGTTTAGTATTTTTATGTTGTGAACCAACCTGTGGTCTTTGGATAAAAGGCGGTATACAAATTTAATAAATATACATAAATTAAAAAACCAGTAAATGTCAGGGGCCTTCTGCATGCAAAGCATATGCTCTGCCACCGAACTCTAGCCAGTTAATAATAATAATAATAATAATAATTTTTTATTTATACCCCGCCCTCCCCAGCCAAGGCCGGGCTCAGAACGGCTTACAAGCAATAATAAAAACAAGAAGAATGATTACAACTTAAAAACAAAAATAAAATACAACATTAAAATAATGGAACATTAAAATATTAAAATGTAGCCTCATTGCAGGAGGAGAAGGAAAAGAAAAAAGAAAGGGAGGGAATCAAATTGGCTCCAAGCCAAAGGCCAGGCGGAATAACTACAGGCCCTGCGGAAAGAAATCAGATCCTGCAGGGCCCTGGTCTCATGAGGCAGAGCGTTCCACCAGACCGCAGCCAGAGTTGAAAAGGCCCTGGCTCTGGTAGAAGCCAATCTAACTTCCTTAGGGCCCGGGACCACAAGGGTGTTGCTATTTATGGACCTTGAGGCTCTCCGTGGGGCATACCGGGAGAGGCGGTCCCGTAGGTACGAGGGTCCTAGGCCGTGAAGGGCTTTAAAGGTCAAAAGCAGCACCTTAAATCTGATCCTGTACTCCACCGGGAGCCAGTGCAGCTTGAAAAGCACTGGGTGAACATGCTCCCATGGCAGAGACCCCGTGAGGAGCCTCGCTGCAGCATTCTGCACCTGCTGGAGTTTCTGGGACAGCTTCAAGGGCAGCCCTACGTAGAGCGAATTACAGTAGTCAAGCCTGGAGATGACCGTCGCATGGATCACTGTGGCCAGGTCGGGGCGGGAAAGGTAAGGGACCAACTGCTTGATGCGGCGAAGGTGGAAAAATGTCGCCTTGGCTTTGCTGTAACTTGCGCCTCCATGGAAAGGGAGGCGTCAAGGATTACACCCAAACTCTTAACAGAAAGCAATGGCACTAATTGGGCCCCCGCAAGAGAAGGGAGTTGGTCCCTCATCCCCATGCCATCCCAACCTAGCCATAGGACCTCTGTCTTCGAAGGATTTAGTTTCAATTGGCTCCCACGAAACCATCCAGCCACAGCTTCCAAGTCAGTGTGTTCGGGCCGAGTCGGTGTGGCCATCCATCAGCAGATAGAGCTGAGTGTCATCAGCATATTGGTGGCAGCCCAGCCCAAAGCTCCGGATAATCGGGGCAAGGGGGCGCATAAAGATGTTAAAAAGCATTGGGGAGAGGATTGCACCCTGCGGCACTCCACACACCAAGGAGTGGCGCGACGACATTTCCCTCCCTAGTGCCACCCTCTGTCCCCGACCAGAGATAAAAGAGCGCAATCAGTTATGGGCTATGCCCTGTATCCCCACGTCTGCGAGGCGGTGGTCCAGAAGATCATGATCGACCATGTCAAAGGCTGCTGACAAATCTAAAAGGATCAGCAGTCCTGACCCGCCTCGATCCAGTTGTCTACGGAGATCATCTGTTAGGGCAACCAGAGCCGTCTCCGTCCCAAAACTAGGACGGAAACCGGACTGAAATGGATCTAATGCCGATGTTCACCAACCGCTCTCTCAATTACCTTACCCAGGTATGGAATAGGGGTAATAGGGGGCCAACTTAAAATATGGATAGATTCAGCCCCAGGAAGGAGGAAATAACCACTAGACGATTTTGGACGTGGTGGAATATAGAGGATTAGGATTACTATATCTTGAAAGAACGCACAAGGTCAGATATTTGAGGTATTGTTGCTCAAGGGCCTCACAAAACCTGGATCCAGCACTAGTGGCTCAGCAGCCTTAAAGCTTTCATTTGCACCCAAGGAAAAAGGACATGTAAGGGCTGCTGAATACCTGGTTGCAGCAAGCAATTGTTGTTGTTAGAATACCACACTTACTATTTTCAGTAAGTCTAGTTAGGTCCTCCCAACCAGGAAACTCCTGCTTTTTATCTTTTTAATACTGTATTCGCAGCACACGAACACATACCGGTACATACAAGGCTCTCTTTCTCTTGGGGGGCGGGAGAAAAACGAGCATATTCCCCGGAAAGAAAAGGAGACAAGTCTGAGGAGCCCAAACCTCCGCGAAGGGGCGCGAAGTGCGCGCGGCCCGCTCTGCCCCCTCAGACTTAACGGCAGATGCAGGCGAAGCGGAGAGACACAAAGACCCGGATAGCACAGCCGTGGAATTGTGTTGGGGAGGATTTCGACTGCAGTAGCCGCGAGAGACTCAGGGCTTTCAGCCCGCGGCTTTGTTACGCTTCCCTCAGCGAAGGCAAAAGCGAGCACTGCCGCCCTCCCACGTAACCGCTCGCTCTGACATCACACCGGCGAGCAATGGCGCGCGCGCGCTCACACGCCGAGGCAGACTGGACGCTTCTCTCTGGAGAGAATGGGAGCGAGAGACGCGCACGCGCGCACGCACTTTAATATGGTTCTCGAGGCCGCTTCAACTCTCGGCGCGGCCCCGACCATGGCGACGCGCGGCGAAAGCGCCCGGCCGGCCCTCCCGTGTGCGTGAGCCCGCCGAGGCCGCCTCAGAATGGCTGGTCGGGCTCCCCGTTCTGCCCCCTCCAGGCCACCTGCGCGAATGAGCGGCCTCCCTCCTCATCGGAGCACCCGCCCCCTCCTCTCTCTCGCTCTCTCCCTGCGGGGGGCGCGCCCTGCTCGCACCGCGCATGCACGTTCCCGCCTCCGGCGCGCCTCCTCTGGCCGCCGCGCGCGCGCACTGAATGCTCGTGCAGGAAGCGGCGGTAACGGTCAGAGACGCGCGCCATTTCCCCTTACATCCCATCCCCCCCCCAATCCCCCCCAAATATCCCTTTACTCGTAGCGGAGCGCTGCTGCGGCCGCGGCCACCCCCCTCCTCCTCCCCTCCCCCCTCCCCATATTCTGTCCCTTCGCCGAGCGTGGCAGGTAAGCGCGAGGGGCATCTGCGCGCGCACTCGAGGCTAGGCTGGCGGAACCGGGCGAGCGGGAGGAGGGGGAGGGGAGGTGCACTGGGGAGGCTCCGCCGCGCGCCGCCCTTTTGCAGCAGCTGCTCCCGCGCGCGCCGCCTGGCTCGGGCCTGCTAGGCTGCCTCGCGCCACTCGGGGCAGTCCCGACAGGAAAGGGCCGCCTTCTCGGCGGCGGCCGAGGGCGCTCTCCGGTGGGAAGCGGTTGCTTTCGGCGCCCGAGATTGCCGCAGCGCCCCCACCCCGCCTTCCTTCCTTCCGTTGTCCGCCGCCCCCCATTTGACGAACGAGCGCGAGCGGCGGCTGCGGGACCAGCAGCGCCTTTCGCCCCGTTCCCGCGCGCGCGGGCCTTGCTGGGCTCCGCCTCTTCGGTGGCGGGCGGAATAGGACGGGGGAGCCGCGCGTGTGAGGCGAGGGTGCGCTCCACTCCGCTGCAGCCCCGTCTTAGCGGGGGCACAGGCATCGTCCCCGAACGGGCACTAGCACGCATGCACCGAGTATGCACCGTGCACGTCTGCTCCATGGTTACTCGCGCGCTGCTCGCTTGCTTGCCGGAGGAGGAGTTGTGTTCCAGTACGTGCACGCCGCGAATGCACGCTCTTGCTCGCCTATAGAGGAAAAAATCGCCATCGGTTCAGTACGAAACAAATAGGAATCGGGACTGACTCATAATGGTTGTCGCGGTGTTGATTTCCGAGTAAGAGTGTTTATTATGCTTTCGCCCTCTTTAATTCAAATCTGATTTAGGGCGCGCGGGTGGGGTGGGGGATTGTTTGAGGATGTATTCACGAAACTAGTCTATGGTGCTTATTGCGATGGTAGTAAACCATATTCTTTAAATAAACATTGCCGCAGTTAGGGTTTATCTCAATTTTAGTTTCCTTTAAAAGCACAAAAAGTGTACGTCATCACATTTTATTAAAAAAGTTATGTGAGTAAATTTAAAGTGGTATCTTTGATAACTAAAATACTTAGTACATCAAAAAGTAGCTTGTCCAAGGTCCCTAGAAGGTGATCTTAAACTTATATATCCCTAGATATAGGAGTTTAAGATCACCTTCAGACGAAGCTACTGAACTGGATGCAAGGAGACAGTTATGGGATTGCTTTATTAGTCTTGCTTTAGTTCCATTAGATTGAATATATTTGCTTACTCTGAGAAGGCTGAGTGGCTACTGAAGGGTAGGTGTAGGCATTTCAGTAAATAAACAAAACTAAAATCTGTTTACGTGGGGAAAATCTTAATTGATTGCAACAGGATTCCCACATGCAGGTTTTTAATATAAAAAATGTCATACTGTATTTCTTAAATCTAGCAAGCTTAACAATAGTTACGCTCAGATGGTTCCTCTCCCAATATATTCAAGAAATTTGATGGGTGGGTTGCAGAGCCACCTGTACTAGTCCTGCCTCCTGCTCTGATTTGTCAGATGGATATGCCAAGCCATCTGCCCAAGAACCCTGTCTCATGTGGGCTGAACAGATAGAGGTGTTGTCTGAATTCCCTAAAATGAAAAGTATATGAAAATGTAACACTCAGAAACTCAGAGTTTCCAGTAACAGTTCAGTCATCAGGAGAACAAGAATGTTTTTGAAGGCATGCTGAATGTTAATAATGAAGGAAGCAGATGCATCTCATCAGGGTGGACATTCCGTTAGTGGGGAGCAACCCATCCCCTCCTAGGGTTGTCTGTTAATAGTAATAATTAAAGGTGCTAGTACTAGCGCACAAAGCCTTAAATGGCTTTGGACCAAAGTATTTAAAGAAGCACCTCCTGTAATATCAACCATTGTGGGCTTGACAATGGCAGGTGGTGCCACCTTCTTGGCATGGCCCATGACAAGACTTTTTTCGCACACAAGTCTAAACTACTTGCTTTTGTGAAGGTAAACCAGGCTTCCTCAACCTCGATCCTCCAGATGTTTTGAGACTACAGTTCCCATCATTCCTGACCACTATACTACCCTGAACATGCCTGATCCTGATAAGGATCATGGGAGTTGTAGGCCAAAAACATCTGAAGGGCTGAGGTTGAGGAAGCCTGGGCTAAACATTACCTGCAACATTGCATTGCAATGCTATTTGGAGGGGAAATAAAAGCCAGCAAGCGTACAGGACATGTATTAGGCAAGACAGACATCAGACATACGTTAACACCTTTGCTAATGGCTGTGAGCAACCAAAGTCGGATACAAATGAATAACTTGCTTGGATTTTGTGAAAGAGAAAAAATGAAAATAAAAACCAGAAACCCGAGAGGCAACGATTTATGCTTTAAGAGATAAAAACATCTATATATTTCCCTTCATTTCTTGGTCTTCTTACTGCTTAAAAATAAAGTCAAAGGATAAACAACAAAATCAAAATTCCATACAGTTGTTGCTGTACCAGATTTTACAGTGGAATATTTCATATACTTGCAAAAATAATTTGCTTAATAAAAGTTATCCATAGCTGCAACAATTTGAAACCCCCCCCCTTTGAATCATATGTACATGAGCCACATTCCTGTTCTCTACAGACAAACACACACACACACGTACACATATGTGTGCAGTTCCTGCTCTTCCCCAAGTCTCCACCACACAAGTTACTAGTGTTTTTATAAATATCCTGCAGGCCTATAGGTGAGTAGTTGCTGGTGTTCACGTTAAAGGCATAGAAGGGCCTAGTCTACAACTATACTACCCTGAACATGCCTGATCTCTGATATCAGAACCTCAGCTGGGAGAATGGGCTATCTTGGAAATTGTGGCCTAAATTGTGAGAGTAGGATTATATGGAACTATAGGATCTGTTGTGCATTTTGTCCTTGCAAGTATGCAAAGATTCTGCTTTCAGAAATAAGTTGTGTTGATTTTAATGTAGAAATACTATACTAGCAATAAAGACATGGAAGCCAGTGTGGTGTAAATTACAGAGTCAGATCTGGGTTCAAATCCCTACTCAGCAATGAAGCTCACCAGTCCTCTCAGCCTCCTCTAACTCATCATAAAAGGGACAGCCTGGTAGACCATTCTCTTTAAAGGAAAAATGGGATAATAGAAAAATAATACTCTTTTAAAAGATACCTCATCGTTTTCTCTTTCAGGTTCAGGGTCCTCAGGATAAAGGTTAACCTACCGTCAACATTTTGTTCAGATATTAAGAAAAAAATCCTTCATTGTTCATGGTACAGTCTTAATATTTCTTTTTTGCATTTCCTTAATTTTCTGCTTCAGTAAATTATTTTAGTCATTAGGTAATTGCCTATACAGTCTTACCTTGGTTTTCGAACAACCTAGTTCTCGAACATTTTGGCTCCTGAACAATCGAAACCCGGAAGTGACTTTTCCAATTTTTGAGGTTATTTTGGAAGCCGAACGTCTAACAGGGCACCGTTTGGCTGCAGGAGCTTCCTGCAGCCAATCAGAAGCACGCTTTGGAAGTTGAACACTTTGGAAGTCAATTGGACTTCCAGAACGGATTCCATTCGACTTCCAAGGTATGACTGTACAAGTTTGCCAGTGAAATGATGGGGCATATTTGGGAAGAGCGAAGAGAAGGGAGGACCATTTCCTCTTTGCCTCTCCTCTTCCTCACTTTTGTCTTCCTCTCCCGTTCTCAGCACTTTCTACTCCTCCTGCTTCAGCTCTTGCCCGTCAAACTCAGATTTGTTGTTGCTGCCTTCCTAATATAGTTGGAAGGAAGGATTTATATGTTTGGCCACACTGCTGAGCATTGGGTTGGGATGCAACCTTTCATTATCCCAGATGATGTTCAACCTAGACCAGTGGACAACTTGCAGGCAAGCCGGAAATCCTAGAGTTTTTATGACTGTGGTCCACAGTTCACTTGCCCACTTTCTTAGAGAATAATGGCACTGTTGTTGTTGTTTTCCTGTGATGCTTATACAGTAATAGGTAGATCAACTTTTTGTCTACAGTGGTACCTCAGGTTAAGTAATTCATTCCGGAGGTCCGTTCTTAACCTGAAATTGTTCTTAACCTGAAGCACCACTTTAGCTAATGGAGCCTCCTGCTGCTGTCGCACCGCCGGAGCACGATTTCTGTTCTCATTCTGAAGCAAAGTTCTTAACCCGAGGTACTATTTCTGGGTTAGTGGAGTCTGTAACCTGAAGCGTATGTAACCTAAAGCGTATGTAACCCGAGGTACCACTGTATTGAGATTTTTAAAGGTTATTAATTGCTTGAAATGTTGTTGAGCAAATCTGAGTTATAAAGTTCAGATCTAATACTACATTTCTCAAAATGTCTTTTGTTTTGTCAGAGTAGCTTACAAATAAATCTTTTTATAATTTTTCTGCAGGAGTTTTTCCTCAGTATGTCTGAAACCATTAAATATAATGACGACGATCACAAAACTGTATTTCTGAAAACATTAAATGAGCAGCGATTGGAAGGAGAATTTTGTGACATCGCTATTGTTGTTGAAGACGTGAAATTCAGGGCCCACAGGTGTGTGCTTGCTGCTTGTAGTACCTATTTTAAAAAGCTTTTCAAAAAACTCGAAGTTGACAGCTCATCAGTAATAGAGATTGATTTCCTTCGGTCAGATATATTTGAGGAAGTGCTAAATTATATGTACACAGCCAAGATTTCAGTTAAAAAAGAAGACGTTAATTTAATGATGTCGTCTGGTCAGATTCTCGGGATTAGATTCTTGGACAAACTCTGTTCTCAGAAACGTGATGTTTCTAGTCCGGAAGATAATTCGCAATCAAAAAATAAGTACTGTCTTAAAATAAACAGATCAATGGGTGAATCTAATGATAACCAAGACGATGAGGTTGAAGAAATTGGAGATCATGATGATAGCCCATCAGATATGACAATGGAAGGAACCCCTCCCAGTCAAGAAGATGGCAAGTCACCAACTGCGACTCTGAGAGTTCAGGAAGCAATTCTGAAAGAGCTGGGCAGTGAAGAGGTTCGAAAAGTGAACTGCTACGGTCAGGAAGTAGAGTCCATAGACACTGCCGAAACAAAAGAACTAGGATCTCAAACTCCTCAAGCTCTAGCATTTAACGATGGCATCAGTGAAGTCAAGGATGAACAGACGCCAGCATGGACAACAGCAGCTGGCGACATGAAATTTGAATATTTGCTTTATGGTCACAGAGAGCAGATTGCATGTCAGGCATGTGGCAAAACATTTTCAGACGAAGCACGATTGAGAAAACATGAAAAACTTCATACTGCGGATAGACCCTTTGTTTGTGAAATGTGCACTAAAGGCTTTACCACCCAAGCCCATTTGAAAGAGCATCTAAAGATCCACACAGGCTATAAGCCATATAGCTGTGAAGTATGTGGGAAGTCTTTCATTCGTGCTCCAGACCTAAAGAAGCACGAGAGGGTTCACAGTAACGAACGGCCGTTTGCCTGCCACATGTGCGACAAAGCTTTCAAGCACAAGTCTCACCTGAAAGACCACGAAAGAAGACACAGAGGGGAAAAGCCTTTTGTCTGTGGTTCTTGTACTAAAGCATTTGCCAAAGCATCTGATTTAAAGAGACATGAGAACAATATGCACAGCGAAAGGAAACAAGTAACCACAACCAGTGCTCTCCAAAGTGAAACAGAACAATTACAGGCAGCAGCTATGGCTGCGGAGGCAGAACAACAGCTGGAAACTATAGCTTGTAGTTAAAAGCAGAAGAATCCACAAGTTCAAAAATGTTTGGTCTGATAACTCACCATTGGAAAAAGTATTTTTTAAGGGATTTTGAGAGTAGAAATATAGTTTGAAATTTGCAGCAAAGAACTACCCTATCAGTGACGTTAAACATGGGAGAAGGCTTTGATTTAGGCAACAGTCCAGGCATAAATCAAAAACAGAGTCAGACTCTAGCCAGTATTTTACTCCTCTTAAAACTCTGGGTTTCATTGCATGTCTAGTAAACTCTACGCATGTGGAATGGAAGGCCTTACACTCCAATGCACAGGGAAATTACACTAAAATATTTCAATTTAAACTTTATGTTCCATTGATTTCAGTTGCTTTGGCACCCCAATCATAAGTATGCTTCCTGTGATCAAGGGAATCTCTAAATACCTTAGAGATTGTCCATTCAGGATGGTGACAAGTGACAGGAAAAGCTGCTGAACCAAAAGGTGTGCCCATTAGGGATTCACTGGATTGCAGCTGTTAATGTGGAAGTAAGCCTCATGGATTTCAGTGGAAATTTGTTCCATGTAAGTATGTCACTCCAAGTCTTTTGGTTCCATCGGCCTGAAGATTGGGCTATTAATGAGTATTTGAACAGTTTAAATAAATAATGTCTGCTACAACAGTTTTTTTTACTTTGAAATTATGAATTACAATGAGTGCAAAAAATCATTTTAAAATAAGAAATGTATTGTTGTCCCTCTAACCAAAACTCATGAAGGTATGACTTTAGTCTTTATATAATAGCTCTTTGCAGTTGTCTGTTAATCCACTGTGATGGTCACTACAAGTTTTTAATGTAGCTGTGTGGGCATCTGAACACTGGGAATTATCTTGTTTCCTCAGCTGGTGAGTTGGTGTATCCCAAGGTCATTAGAACCACTCTCTGTCTTGCAGATGTTTTTCCTCCCTGGCCCGCCTTACCTATGTGCCTGCATTTTGCTTTGCTATTCCTGTCTTCAGCTCAAGACAAAAATAACAGTTGTCTTTGTCTTATTTTAGGAGGCCTTTAATTGTATTCTGTTAGGGAGCCTAGCCCTAAGAAAATGGAAATGGCAGGGAACAGCTGTTGCACTGCTGCTTACAGTTGGAAAGGTGCAAATACTACTTGACAAACTCAGGTTCCCTCACCGGGGTTTTCTGGTCTCCATGGCCATTGTCCAAGAATGCACAGGTCCACCATCCTGCTCTTCCATCAGCATAATTTATTCCAGTGCAGAGTTAAAAGGAGCCAAGGCATATTGTTACAGGGAAGAAAAGAAGTAGAGAAAATCATCTCAAGGAAGGCAGTGTTGCTCTGCTACAGTCAGCTGTAGTAAATCCTTGCTTTCTTTCAAGGTTCTTTTACTGTTCTTAAATGATTGATAATTAGGTATAGCTTGAAGATCTGAAGCAAATAGTTCAGAACAACAGGCAATTGGGTTGAAGCTTACTATAGGATAGCTTTAAAGACTCTACAACCTGGTTTTCAATAGACGATGCCTCTTCATGCTGGGTTGCAGTTCACAATGATGCTCTTCTATACAAATTGCTTCAGTGGAAAATTAGACATCAAGAAGAAAGCTTATAGCCTAGTCTTCTCCAGAAGATTGTAGTTTTCCTTATGGGGAGCATTCATTTGAGCTTGACCTGCAGTCTGTAAAGTGTATAGCCCAGCACTTTGGTAAGAACTAGGCCTACTTGAGCAGCCTTTTCATGAAACCTGGAGGAACTGGGATGATGGGAATGTGATTAGGAAAGGATAGAGATAATGGCAACACGTATCGATATTCCTTAAGGCATTTAGAGTTACACAGCTGCATTTTGTTATGATTCCATACCATATTCCCTGCTCAGTAACGTAAGAATTCCACTAGTCTTGCAGTGCAATCCTATGTGTGTTTACTCCGAAATCCCACTGAATTCAGTGGAGATCACCCCCTAGCTAGTGTGTATAGATTTGTAGCCTTTGGCTGCGTTACAGTTAGCTGTGATATTTAGTGTTTGAGATTTACATCCCAATCCTAAGCATTTCTGTTTGGAAAGCAATCTAAGTTCAGCTAGGCTTAATGTTCAGTTAGGCTCATTTGCTATGAAGTGTGCTTCGGTTTGCAGCTTACTGTCAGAGCTTAGATTCAGTTACGCCACTTTAAAAAATCATCAGCTTTTTGGAACAGGTCCTGTATATCTCTTCCAGAGATGTCTAGTGCGAAATGCTTTCAGGGAATTGATAGGAAATGTATGATCTTGGGATCATTTTGGGTAGAAGAAAATTTTAAGCTTGTGAAGTAATTTCAATACTTCCTTAGCCTGCCTGCCCTGAATTAATGTACCAGTTTTATTTGAAATACAAACTTACCATTCAGATATGCTTTAAGATGTCTCAGTGATTACAATTGCATTTGTAATGAACTGTAGGATGGGATTTCCATGCAGTAAGAGAAGGCTGAAGTCCGTTCAAGTCTTTAAAGAAATTTCCCCACACATTTTTTAACATACTTCTGTTATCAAGGTTAAATTTTAATTAACATTGGACAAAAAATGTTTATAACATTGGGTTAGAATTAGTTGTTAGAATATGTATTTATAAATTATTGTGTGTCAAATCACCTATTGCATTTCTAAATAGTAAGACTAACATTTTTAAGTATTAGAATAAAATTGCATCTAACTATTGATCTTTGTTACAATGTTGTGAATCATTCAATGAATAGACAAGTTTAACTTAAATTTAAAATGCCAACTGTTTGAAAATTGTCTTGTAAATAAAACACAAATATTTTAGAATACATGGTGTAATGTGTCTACATTTTACAGCATTCTTATTTTATTTTATTTTACTTTTTGATATATTGGTTTTAGAATGTCTGATATGCAACTTCAGTGAATTTATATAACCTAAAACCAATTTGCTTATAAGATTCTTGGTTTATAAGTCAGACAGAGATGACTATAAGGATCCAATTTATGTGCTTAACAAGTAGTGAATGATGACTGGAGCACCTGCCTTAGTATTTGAAATTAATTACTGTAGGTGACATAAACAGATTAACATGACTTTAGTACTGAAACTATCATGCATATTGTTAGGTAACACACTCACTAGACATGTACATGGCAACAATTTGCCAGCTATGCCTCATAATTATATAACAAAATGCAAATAAATAGCATAATATCTTACCATATAATAGAACTGTAAAGCTCTCTTCACACAGCAGTTGTCTGGCTGCCAATAGACATTCATGGCAACTCCAGTATGACAACCAGCAGGCAGGCAACCAGTGCAGGTTGCAGGCATCACAGGCAAGCCATTTAAGAGGAGTGGGAGGTGCTTAGCAAACTTCTGAAGCACCCTACTCTGTTAAACATCACTGGAGCAGTGTTGAACAACAGGGATTGCTTCAGAGAGCAGTCTGCTCAACCCTTCTCTTAAGGTCCCTCGCATGCTCCTAAAGGGGATGATTGGGTATTTTGGGGTGAGCTGTAAGGAGGAGTGGAGGTTTGAGCGAGCTATGAGGGGATAGGCAAGGCAAGGGGATGGGTGAAATGTAAAATGTCTTTGGTTATGTGTAAAGGGAGGAAGGGTTGGCCAGGTGTGGGAGAAGGGGTGTTGCTGGCTAGGCGGGTGTGCTGGTCCCGAGGGTTAACCGTGCGGCAAGGTCCAAGTCCAGTCCGAGGGTGCGGTATGGAGGCTGTCCATCAAAGCTGAAGCGGGGTCCAAGGCAAGGCGTCGGGTGAGGTCAGGAACTCTGGCAAGAGAGCAGAACAGGGTGCAGGCAGGAACAGGTTACCAACAAAGTTGCTCCTGCAACCTGGGACTGGGCTGGCTGGCTTTTATCTGCCCCGAGGCATAGGGCAGCCCCGGTTCACAGGTGACTCGCCTCTCCTGGCCTGGAAGTGAGCACTCCTCCTGCAGGAACTTAGTTCCCTCCGCCTCTCTGCCCTGAGCCTCTGCAGCTCAGGAGAGGCTGGAGGGTTACCAGACCCAGAGGCAACCTCAGCTTCCTCTGATGGGGCTGAGAGTGGAGCACCTGCAGGCAATGGGTTCTCCATCACCCCAGGACCCAGAGCAGACTCAGCTGATGCCTGCACCTGAGGATCCAGCACAGGTGAGGACCCTTCAGGCTCAAGCCCCAGCCCCGACTCAGCTGGTTCTGGAGGCAGGGACTCCTGTGCAGGCTGGGATTCCTCCGAGTCCAAATCCCAGGCCATCACACTGGGGCTGGCAATCAGGTAGCAGCCCCTTGTATGCATGTATTTGTAGAAAGACTAAGAATGATATACATACAATCCAACATGTACATTTCTGTTAAAAGTATGTCTCCTTGTAAACACGCTAATGCAAGCATGAGATCTACTAGTATTCATATTAATTTGTTCAAAACACCAGGAGACATTCTAGCTTCAGGATTTTGAGAATGTTTAGCCTCAATACGATAATGACTTATGTCACATTCCCACTGATACACTATAATTATTACAGTTTTGATTGCTTTCTTGTGGACCATTCAATATTTGATCATGGCCATAGTTCCACCACAGTAGCGATTTATAGGTTATTAAGATTTGTAGGTTGTTACACCCAGAAGCTCGTTGATTTCAGTAGTAATGCAGATGCTTAAAAGGTGATGACATTTCTAGAGGCTCATGTTCTGGAAAAGAAATGAAAGGTTTAAGGTGGAAAAGGCACAGTGGGGAAGAACAGAAGACAGGAAAACAATTATGTCCACGTTTTGTGAAGCAGGCTGGCCCTTGGTTTTTTCTATCCATCCTTCTGGTGTTCAGAAACTGAGTAAGCATTTATTGATGAGGTAAGTGGTAAGGAAAAAAAATACCTTACTGATGATAAAAGGAGCAGGATAAGTTTTTTAAAAAATAAAAAGTGGTAAAGTGGCACACTGCAATACACTAAATTCAATTCTTACTGTAGTTGAGTACATTTTGATTGAACTTACCTTTGAGCAAGTGTTCTCATCTCTGTGATGTAAACGCCATTCCTAACCCTGCCTTTTCCTTTCCTGAATAAAAATGTATGCCCTTAATGGCTAGAAATGTGATTTTAAAAGAAACGGACTGACTCTCAGGCTGCAGAAGTTAGTGTTAAAGGTAACCAGCCTGAGATGGCATGGAAAAAAACAGATCATACATCTTTTGGAATTTTTGACCACATAAGCAAATTCAGTTGAAAGTCAAATGACAGTTGTGCCACTGTTGTGACCTCTTCATTACCCACACATGCCTTGTTCATTATCTTTTGTACACTTTGGCAAGAGAAATACAAGTAAGCCATAACATACATGCTCTCAACACACAAAACCCTTCAAGGAGTACTTTGTTTAAAACATCAAGATCAACAACAAAATGCTTTGTAGACATTTGTGGCAGGAAGCCCAGTTGGGAAGTGGTTGGGAGTTTTGGATGATAAAAGCGTTCTAAAGGAGAAGAAGAAGATTGCAGAGAAACAATGAAATATTTGTCTTCAAAATGGGAGCAGTAGTGCAGATCCCTGTGTCTGGATTAATTTTTTGAAGAATAGGAATTGAGGTAGATAGTGACAAAGAGATTAAATGTTGGAGGCAGTATGCCTCTGGATACCAATTGCTGAGATTCACAAGTAGGGACGGTGCTGCTTTGCAATGTTCTGCTTGTTGTCAGAAGCATCTGATTGGCCACTGAGAACACGATGATGAGCTAGATGGGCCTTTGACCTGAGCCAATAGGGCTCGTCTTACATTCTTAGACATTTGTGCTATCATTTAGGGAGTCCAGGTGGCATTATTTTAATTTATTAGATTTTAATATCTTGAATGTTACCCTGAATCATTAGGATGGGACAAAATATGGTAGTTTTCTTGCTGGTCATTGGACCAGCTTCAATTATTTATTGCAGTCATTGGATGACATTGGATCTGTTTATATATATTTATAAAAGTATTCAACTTTGCCGTAACCTAATGTTAGATGTCATTCATAACGGAGTCTATTTTAGTGAACATTGATCTGGTACCAGAAATCCTAGCATGAACACAACTTAGAACACCTATTAGTTCTGAAAATAAATATCATTTCTATAAATAAACAGTATATTGAATCCCTTGGCCTTCTTACTTTGCGATTTTTGCCCTTCAGGAAAGAGGCTGTGACTTTAACAAACAAATGAAGCCTTTCCTCTCAGAATATTTGGAACAACCCACATAAACTTTGTTTTATTTTTTGCTTCACAGCAAATCGGGCATCATAATCAGAAATTATACAACAGGATATGCTTGCCAAAAGCTGCATTTTGAGGGTCAAGTCAAGGGGTTGAAGGAGAACTCAGGGGCCCAGTAGTTCAGGCACAATGGTGAGCAGGGATGGCTCATTTTGGCACTTGAGGTGCACTCCCAAAAAGCCCCACCACCACCACCAGGAAAGAAAGGATGAGGGAACATCTACACCCAAGAACAGTGTGGGGGTGGGGAAAGAAAGATTGACAGCAGGATCTGCTGTCCTTGTGGATCCTGCTGCCTCAGCCAGTCTCACATCATGTTGCCTCATGGGTGGGTCGGCCTTAATGGTGAGAATGAAGTTAAAGATCATGATGAAGATGAACAGTAAGACGCCAAACTCGTCTGTGGACCACCAGTGCCACATGAACTTCATTCAGGCTGGAAAAGCAGAAAGAGCCTTGGCTTATTTCTACTTTAATCCAAGGCTATGACTATGAGAGAAGCAGAACCTTCTTGAGATGTTAATCCTGTGAACCCTTTCATCATAGGTTCAGGTTGTATATATGTGTAAATTAACCGCATATCATAAAGACACCACAGTCTCCGCTGTATAAGTGCCTTATCTTGAGTGAGTACCCAGAACTCCTGGAATGTTGCACTGCTTGAAAATTGGGGTGGCATGCAACACTGTGTGTTAAGCAGAAATCAACCATGCCGCTCGCTTGAGCCTGCAGCTTTTTCCTCTACATCACATCACAGCAAACTCTGCCCTCAAGACTCAGGCTTTGTCTAAGAGCTGGAGGATGTCATCTGGCACAGTCCCCTCTCCTTTGCTCTCTTAATGGCTCATCACCCAGGCAAAACCCAGGAGGCTAGCCTGGCTTGATTAGCTTTTATTGGATTCAGCAATTTAGAGGGGCCTGGCACCCCCAAGCCCATAACAGTATATTTGTTTTTCCTGCATGCCGAAAGTGGCATTTGCAATAACCAGCTCAAGTGATGAGACGTTTTCAGAAGTCACTCTTGCTTCTGTTAAATCGTGATCATCTGGCAATACTAAGACTACACTGGGATAAAAAGATAGCAGCGAAAATATTTTCTGCATCGTATTTCCCTCCACCCCCAAGCTCCAGTTTCAAGGGGCTGTTTTCTGTTCTCTTGAAACTGCCTACAGTGGACGGACCCAGGAAAGATCTACAGCTAATTACGATATTTTATTTTATTTTTTGCGGTGGTGAACCTGCATGAGATGCTAAGCTGCAACGTCCCGAAAACTCCACAGAGCTTGCTTAACAAGGGGCTTTTAAGCTTACCCTTGCAAAATACCCCGTAAATGTCAGGCTTGCTGCATCCAGCGCTGAGGTTGACAAGAAGAGTTAATTAGGAGCAATTAGTTTATCCTCCTGCCGAGAGCCTCTGCGCTTCCCTTTCCCCCTCCCCTGCTGCTGCTGCTGCTGCAGAGTCCAGCATTGCTGTGCGTACAGCAGACGAAGGAATGAGATATGAGCTGAGTCCCGGTCTCTCTTTCCCCCTCCCCTCTCCTCTTCTTCCTCCTCCTTTCCAGAGCGGTGCATTGTGGAGGTAATCGCCGAGGAAGCACCGCGCCGTTGACTCCGCTGTCCTACTCTGGGAGCTGTCCAAGGTGCTACTTCTCCTGGGAGTCCTTGCGCAGCGCACGCTCTGGTGCTTCTCGCTCGACCGGCTCCCGCCTTTCCCCCCTGCTATCCACGTCCTCTCAGTATACCGTTCCCTTGGCAGGAAGAGACCATGGTGTTTGCTCCAGGTAACGTATTTACTTCAGCTCTCTCTCTCTCTCTCTCTCTCTCTCTCTCTCTCTCACACACACACACACACACACACGCATTCACTCCCTTAGATCGTTGCACGGTGGGCCTTTTCTGCTCTCCTTGAGAAGCAGGGGCGGAGCTCTTCCCCAAACATACGTACGTACATGCCTGCATGCGTGCCTGCACACATACACACGCGCGCACCTCCACCCGAATGCAGACCGGGACTGTTGATATGCTGTCCCGACAGGCATGCGGGCAGAAACGCCGCAGAGGACCATCTGGAGCTATTGTGGAGTCAGTTTTGTTTGGGACCAGATGAAATAAAGTTCTTCTTCTTCATCCCAACAGCTCTGGGCCAAAGAAAACTGCGGGGAAGCATACGGGAGGGGTCTGAGTTAGTGGGAGGCTGATAAATGGAACGACTGTTCTTCAGCAGGAAAACAGGGCTGTGCCTGTGTGTAAAAAAGTGTTTACTAGCGGTTTGTCCTTATAGGAGTCTTTCTCTCCCTCTCTCTGAATCATAAGGTCACATGGTGGTTAGACATAAGGAATTCTCTCCCTAGTTTGAAAGTTTCTCCAAATCATGTTTGTTTGTTTGTTTGTTTGTTTGTTTGTTTGTTTAGTTATTTAGAGAGAGGAGAAAAATTACGGTATCTGTAGCAAAAGCTGGTTCTAAAGTCACCTTAAAAAATAATAATCCCCAAGCAGATCTTGTTTTTTTTCTCATTTATATATTTACTGCATTATCTCCCACTTCTGCACTTAGGCAGGAAGAACCAGATGCACAAATATAGAATGGGAGGCACCTGGCTTACTAGCAGTACATGTGAAAAGGATCATGGGGTCTTGGTGGACCGCAAGCTTAACATGAGTCAACAGTGTGATGCAGCAGCAAAAAAATACCTAATGCTATTCTAGGCTGCATCAACAGAAGTATAGTGTCCAGATCAAGAGAAGTAATAGTACAACTCTATTCTGCCTTAGTCAGACCACACTTGGAATACTGTGTCCAATTCTGGGCACCACAATTTAAGATGAATGTTGACAAGCTGGAAGAGGACGACCAAGATGACCAAGAGTCTGGCAACTAAGCCTCATGAGGAGCGTTTGAAGGAGCTGGGTATGTTTAGCCTGGAAAAGAGGAGATATGATAGCCATGTTCAAATATCTTAAGGGCTGTCACATGGAGGAGGAAACAGGCTTGTTTTTTCCTGCTCTGGAGGGTAGGACTCAAATCAATGGCTTCAAGTTGCAAAAAAGGAGATTCTGACTAAACATTCAGAAAAACTTTCTGACAGTACGAGCTGTTTAGCAGTGGAACAGACTCCCACAAAAGGTGGTGGACTCTTCTTCCTTGGAGATTTTCAAGCAGAGGTTGGATGGCCATCTGTCATGGATGCTTTAGCTGATATTCCTGCATTGCAGGGGGTTGGACTAGATGACCGTTGGGTTCCCTTCCAACTCTATGATTCAATGATTCCTTCCAAGCAGCTCAAAGTAGCATTCTTGGGCTGCAGTCCTCCTAACTCCATTTACTTGGGAGAAATCTCAGCTGAATTCTGTGGACTTACTTTTGAGTAGACATAATTAGGATTGCACTGTTAGGGAACCCCCCATTTTTTCTTCACAGAAATATTGTTGTTTAGTCGTGTCTGACTCTTCGTGACCCCATGGACCAGAGCACGCCAGGCACTCCTGTCTTCCATTGCCTCCCGCAGTTTGGTCAAACTCATCTCAGTAGCTTCGAGAACACTGTCCAACCATCTCGTCCTCTGTCGTCCCCTTCTCCTTGTGCCCTCAATCTATCCCAACATCAGGGTCTTTTAATTACTGGTCCCAAGGTCCTCAAGGAGCTTCATGGCTGCGTGGGGATTTGACTCAACTCTTTCCCAGCCTGGTATTCTAACCACTACAGCTCACAGCTTGAAATCCTATACACACTCTTCTAGGTGTAAGTCTCATTAAACACAATGAGACTTACTTCTGAGTAGATATGCATAAAATTGTGCTGTTATGGTCCAGTCTGAATTCCTATGTTCTCTTCCCTCTGTCCACAGTCCTCAAGTCACTAATTCTGGAGTTAAGCCCATTAGGGTGCAAAATCGATTTTGAAGAATGTAGCTTAAGGAACAATCAGATAATTGCAAACAGGATTATTAAAAGGTCTGTTTTAACCAAGAAACTCCTATGCTTTTTTTCAACTTTTTGGATTTTCCTCAGACATTTATTATTTTTTAAAAAGACTGCAGCCTAGGCCACAATTGCTGCATGTGCTACAAGAATTCAAAGAATGAGATCCATAAGGGAATTCTATTTAAATGAATGGGACTTACTTCCAAATAATGTATTGGGACTAAAGTGAAACACCAACAAAAAGAGATCAGTTTCTGACAAGTTAAAATGTGTTTGTTTTTTTTAATTGCCCAGTGTGCTGATTATTTCCAAGACACATTGGTAGACATGTTTACCTGGGACAACTTTATTTAACCCAACTATCCTTTGCTGCCAGCAGCACCCTCCAGAGTCACTACACCTCTTCTAATTACCCTTTATCTAAGAGCACAGATGGTCCACATCATTATTCACAGCCTGTTTTTGAGGCAAACACATGAGGCTGGAGAACAGCAGCCAGAGATTATAATTACAATAAAGACAACAACACTATTTCCAGTGGCTGATAAGTTGATAATAAATGTGCCATTTGTGAGTATTGTGTCAGAAGGAACAGGCTCTCCACACTCACAGGCCAATGTTTGCTTAATGTAATGATTCTCTTTCAGCTTGCTCTTGCAGGAAGGATATTTAGTAATTCCCAAATGTTTGTTCCCTTTCGTATGATGAGTGTCATTTTTAAATAGCCTTCTTTATTTGTTATGTTATCTGTGAAGTTAGAAAGCAGACACTGCCACTTGCCAGGATGAGAAATCTCAAGAAATATGGGTACAATCTAGGAAATTTAAGAAAATTAAATTTCCAATTAAAATCAGTTTAGGCTGGTCTATTACAACAAATGGAGCACTGCCTCGCCAACCTTGGCCCACCCTCAGGCAGCCTATACCTATTTGCTGTCTTACTTATAACAACCAGTCCATTGGCTGGCCCTAGCTGTCAGCTTCCTCCTCCATAGTCTCAGTGTTGTCCTTGTGGAACTAGCGAGGAGGACCTGCTGTTTGCTCTGGCTCCACCTACTGTTGTCCTCCCTAGCTTCCACCATATGAATCTCAGTGGACAGCAGGTAAAGGTAAAGTGACCCCTGACCATTAGGTCCAGTCATGGCTGACTCTGGGGTAGCAGCGCTCATCTCGCTTTATTGGCCGAGGGAACCGGCATACAGCTTCCGGGTCATGTGGCCAGCATGACTAAGCCGCTTCTGACAAACCAGAGCAGCGCACAGAAATGCCGTTTACCTTCCCGCCGGAGCGGTACCTATTTATCTACTTGCACTTTGACATGCTTTCAAACTGCTAGGTTGGCAGGGACCGAGCAACGGGAGCTCACCCCCTCACGGGGATTCAAACCGCCGACCTTCTGATTGGCAAGTCCTAGGCTCTGTGGTTTAACCCACAGCGCCACCCACATCCCTTCAGTGGACAGTTTGTTGTTGTTTAGTCCGACTCTTCGTGACTCCATGGACCAGAGGACTCCTGTCTTCCACTGCCTCCTGCAGTTTGGTCAAACTCATGCTGGTAGCTTCGAGTGGACAGCAGCTACAATCAGTGGACAGCAGCCACCCCTAATTAAAATAATTGCAAAGGGTTTGTGCTATGGGAGCTTGTTCATGAGTACAGATTGTGATGCACAGCCAAACAACTCTGGACTTGCTTTAGCAAGGGGGCAGATGTGTCACGGGCATGGTTATATAGCAGACCACTCTCTTGGAGAAAGGAATATTGTTTTGAAATATAGGGTGGCTCAGTTTGTGTGTGTGTGTGTGTGTGTGTGTGTGTGTATGAATTAAACTCATTTTCTCTTCTTTCCTGGTCAGGGGATAAATGTGGAAATGAACAAGAAGAGGCAAAGCTGCAGAACATGAGCAAGCAGATTGTCCACACAGTCATTCAGCAGGCTGTCCAGCAGCTCTCCCAGGAGAGCCGGCAAAAGGAGAAGGCGAGGCATAGCAGTGGGAGCCTGCAGCTGGAGAGAGGGCAACTAACCAAGAAGCATGAGAAGAAGTAAAAGGCCCTGGTTTCTTCTCGGGGAATCTTCCAGTCTGCAGCACTTCCACCTTCTCAGCATCAGCTGTGTCGCCAGTACCGCACTACGTCAGAAAAAGCAAATCCAAGTATAATCAGCACATAGCGATAGATGTATACCGTTGCAATAGTCCTCAGCTGAGAAATAGGGTTTTAAGTGCATTAGGTAGTGCCACTCAATATTTATGCAGTGCCTTGAACACACGTAACAAAATAATGCTGTGGCCATTGAAGTAGTCTTAAGCTCAAGTCCTTCCCAAAGGACACTCCCTGAAGGACTTCCTGTACTGTTGTGTGTGTCATCATCTCCAGATGGTTAGTAGATGTCCCTTGAAGTTCAGGGGTCCCAGGAAGCCTTTCTATTGACACACCTGTTCAAAGATGTGCTTTAAAACTCCTCGAAGCACAAACCTACACCACGTTTCGAGTGAATACTGTGGCGTGCTAAATGACCAAATGAAATCTATGAATGAGTCTTTCAGAAACATACTCTCTCCTTAATCCAACCCAGAGTTAAACAAGCTTGAAGCTGCTGATTTAGGTTCTTGTGCTTTTAAAAACTTTATTTTTAATTCAAAACTGAATCAGTATTCAACAATGGGAAATGAATGGGACATTGGGCACAACCCAGAGAAAATGTGTATTATCCCACACACACTTACTTGGGAATAATTCCCTTTGACCTCAGTGGGGCTTCTGAGAAAACGTGTATAGGATTGCAATGTTAGCCCCTTAAAATCCATGCACTTCATATCTTTATAAGTACGTTCAGTTTATTTCCATTGGAATTAAACACAGCCAACTTTTCCTGGGTTTTGCTCCTTTGTTGCTTTTGTTTATTTTTATTTATTTACAAAGCTTCAGCATATTTCTTTGGAAGAGCAGAGGGCTGTCTGCAAGCAACTCCCAAGTGCCCATAGAACTTCATATATATCCTGTGTCCGGTACCATGGGCAGAAGACCCTCCTTGGGTTCTGTGGAGAATCCCATCTTACAAGGAAATAGATAGCCAATTCAATGAATGGGCTTTACATTGAGTTCCTTGCATATAGGGAAAGACAAAGAACTTCATTTCCTTCATAATGGGCTTTATATATTCTTTTAATCCACAGGAGCCTTCCAGACTGGTATATTTGTCCTTATGCATAATTCTTGTTTAAAGGCAATCATATATTAAAACACAGTCTAATGTATCACCTGGGGCTGATTTAATGTTTCTGAATAAATATATATTAAGAAAAATCTGGAATTATCAAAATGTCTTTAAAAATGCAGTTTATTTTATAAGCTTTGTTTGTTTTTTAATCACTAGGAAGCTAATAAATGCAAGATAAAATGGTTCACTATGTGCTTTTTATGCCTAACAGTGCAGCCTTACATGTCTACTCAGAAGTAAGTCCCACTAAATTCAGAAGAGCTTATTCCCAGAATTCCAGGTAAGTGGATTGAGGATTGCCGCCTAAATTTCACAAGTATTCACTTGGATTAAACATCTGCATTCCTCTGCCTTGCTCTTCCAGGTGTAGAACACACACTTATAGCTTCTACGTATAGAAGAACACATTACCTTTGATGTTATCCTAGTAATGAAACAAAGGCACCACATCAGGGATAATGTTTTCTTCTAAGAGTGACATAGCTGTATTAAGAACCTGATCTGCAGGTTCCCCACCTGGGAAAACAGCAATGAAGTGGGAAGAATTTTAACTGATGTAATATTTCTGTAGCCATCATGTATCTGGATTTACCTTGCACTGAGCTCATGTGTCAGACGGCTCTGCCTTTCTGCTGTGTCAGCCCAGAACAAGCTCTTATCAGGACTGCAGGGTGAGTCATTCTGGAGACTTGTGGAGAACTGATATAACTCTATAGCGCAGAGCACATGCCATATGGTAATAAAGTGCTTGTTTCATGGTATTAAATAGTGACTCACAATAGCATTTGAGAAGAAACTAACCTCTCACAAAATATCTCATTTGCTGTTGCATTCTGATTTTTGTTACTGCAAATATTGGGGTGTTTAAGCAGTGGTTGGATTCACATCAGTGGAAGGCTAACAAAGTAATCCTATGCATGTCTACTCAGAAGTAATTCATAGTGAGGTCAATGTGGCATACTCCCAGATATGCAGGATTGCAGCTAAGACTGAGGCTGTGATTCTATATGCACTTACCTGGGAGCAAGTCCTATTGGTCTCAATGAAACTTCTGCATAGGATTGTAATATTAGGAGAAACTAGATGTATTCACTAAATTCAGTAAAGAAGTTCTCATGGGGAATTGATATGATGTTGTTGTTTAGTCATTTAGTCGTGTCTGACTCTTCGTGACCCCATGGACCAGAGCACGCCAGGCACTCCTATCTTCCACTGCCTCCCGCAGTTTGGTCAAACTCATGCTGGTAGCTTTGAGAACACTATCCAACCATCTCGTCCTCTGTCGTCCCCTTCTCCTTGTGCCCTCAATCTTTCCCAACATCAGGGTCTTTTCCAGGGAGTCTTCTCTTCTCATGAGGTGGCCAAAGTATTGGAGCCTCAGCTTCACGATCTGTCCTTCCAGTGAGCACTCAGGGCTGATTTCCTTAAGAATGGATAGGTTTGTTCTTTTTGCAGTCCATGGGACTCTCAAGAGTATCCTCCAGCACCATAATTCAAAAGCATCAATTCTTCGGCGATCAGCCTTCTTTATGGTCCAGCTCTCACTTCCATACATCACTACTGGAAAAACCATAGCTTTAACTATAAGGACCTTTGTTGACAAGGCGATGTCTCTGCTTTTTTTGATATGATAGGTTAGAATATTATTGCAATAATCTCAGATTATTTTAAGGCTATCTACAAATATAAGATAAATAACATATATAAGGCAGTCAGAAATTACTTCAGAACAACGCATTTCATACATATGAGTATTGGAGCCAAATGAGGTGCATCTGTTTTCAACTTTAACAACTGTCCTAGCTGTTGATGTAAGCCCAAGCCCAGTTGCTTCAGATACAACATTAACAGCTGTAAATTTTATTTGATTAAGGATGCCTGTCCTGCCTTCAAGAAAAACATTTTCAGGACTACTTTATAAAACAAACTACAACGCCAAATGCATGATAAAGCTGCAATGGAAGATAAAAGCAGTAGAGATGACTCAGATAGTTAAAAGGCCTGGAAAGGGTCTGGTTAGATGTGGCCTTGGCCTTCAACTGCACATTTTTGTTTGTATTTATAGGAAAAAGGAGGAGGAAGAAAAGAGGGAGTACAGTGGAAAGCACAAGAAAATGTGCTTTGAATGTGCTTTCAGGGTATAGTGTGTGCATGAGGTCCATCCTATTCCTGATCATGTGTATTCAGAGATCTCATCGATTCATCTGGGATTTGGAAGTTCAAACGTAGCTCTGACCTTCTGTAGCATCATATACACAGCTTGTACATGAGCAGCAGTATCAGTTTCAAGTCTAAATTTCTGTTGCACTCCATTAAGTCAATGCCGTGTGAAACGAAAATGGCCAGCGTGTCTCCTGCCACCATGACTAAGATCTGAGAGAGACTTAATAATGGGTTCAACCCAACTACTTAATTCTGTCATATTTTAGGAGCAAGTGATTACACGCTAAAGTGCTCATAATAGAAATGGAAAATGGCTCCACAGCATGGTTTTGCAAATGAGTCATCAATCAGATGTTTTACAGACGTCTGAGGAAAGGGCAAGGCGTCACAATCTCCCATATATTCCACAAAGAGCAAAAGAAAGAAAAAATGGTGCCTGCAAAAATAGCTGCTCGATCACCATGTCCTTAATTATTTAAATGTTCTTCAGAACATTGTACCTAGAAGGTTCTCAAGTTTCTGTGTGACTGGAAGCGTCTTATTCCAAGCAGGGATCTCTGTCCTGTGCTGCAATTGGTGAATGTCCCCTGACTCTCAGAGGTGCTGCACTATAGTTCCTGTTCACTGACAGTTTCCTGTATGGCTGTTCAGAGGGAGTTAATCCTACAGAATGTTTTCTAAGCCCAGTTCACTTCTTACATTTTCCCCACACAGAAAAATGCACTTTCCAAATAATCCCACCATTACTCAGCTTATGTCTGGTATCACAATATCTAATTAGCAGTGAGGTGGGGAACAACAAATTAACAACAACAACAACAACAACAACAACAACAACAACAAAACAACAACAACAATACTCTGCCCCAGCCACTCTGGACAGCTTTCAACACATATAAAAACATAATAAAACATCAGACATTAATAGTAACAATCTGATCCAATATAAAAGTCACAATAACTTTAAAACAAACAACTTCTATCAAATAAAGCAATATTCAATAATCCATTACAATCTAATACTAAACAGTAAAAATTCCATCCCATGAATCTAATTAGGCTTGGCACAGGTCCCAGTTTTGTGAAAACCCTGCCCACCTGCCCACAACTGGGGTAATGTGATATCAGGTAAGAGGCAGGTGGAGATGTGACTGTCAGAGCACAAACAGATGCCTAAAAGTGCACTACCATTCGTGTTTTGGCAAGGGAGGCTTGCTCTCGCTGCCACTGAGCTGCCAATCAACTGTTATCATCATGCTACTCAGTTTCCCCGTGGGGAAACTTCATAGGCAGCCAATCCAAGCAGAAAAGTGGAGCTTGATGTAAGCACCTAGCAGATTAGAGCTCCTTGGTTCAAATTCCCTGGGATTGGCTACACTGCTGGGTAGGAACTCAGCAGAACAGCAAACGCCTACAGAAAGTGAACAGGAACTCACTTCAAGCTTTCTGGGACTGCTGCATTCCTAAGTACTAAGCAGCAAGAATGAGGTGAAATAATGACAGCAAACAGTAAAAGGGAACAAATCAGATGGTACTCAGGGAGTATTTTGATCTCCTAAACTACAACTTTCACTCCCAAAATTATTGGGAATATGAATTTTGTGCCGCTGAAACCACATCAGCCAGATTCTTGTTAAATTAAAGGTGCTTTCCAGTCTTGTTTGCAGGATAGCACCCCCTGGTCCCAAATACATCCTGCCCTGCCTATTTCACTTGCAGTTTTCCTGCTCACCTTGAGTTGAACTTGTGTGCCTTTTCTTTTATACAACTTGATAGAATATTTTGTCATGCACAGCTGCCATTTGCCACTCAAAAAAATAAAATAAAAAATAACAGTTTATAACAAGTGAACTTTCTCTTGGCAAATTTTACCTGTCCTTTTGCAAAAATGTTCTGATCATCCAGCCATTAAACAGCCCCCTGTCTCATCAAATCAACAAGCTCCAGGCACTTTTAGATGTCAGACAGGTTTACATTCTAATTTTATTAGAAGCAAATCTGATGTCACTGCAGAATAGCAAGTGGCTACAACAGTGTCTCACATCTACCTTTCCTTCAAAATCTATTGTAACATTTCATTAAGTGGACTTTTAATAGGGCTGTCACCTCACTCAGGTTTTATTACCCCATTATATATCTGTTTTAACTCATCAATCAAGTTAGTATAGGTGTTTGCCGTGGAGATTTGATTAGCTGTTTAATGATATAGCTCATCTCGGTTAAATGAAGACACATTTGAATCCAATACATTTCAATTATATCATAATATTTGGATGCATGTATCAGAGACACCTTTTAGTAACATAAATGTAAAGATTTTGTATGAGAGATTAGACTGGAAATTAATTATTGAATGAGCCCTTTCATTTATCCATTGCACTAGGCATACCGAACACACAGCTTTATGAAGGTTTAGTGTAGGGTTGGGGAACCTAGAGAGGGCCTTCGGAAATTGTTGAACTACAACTCCCATCATCCCTGACAATTGTCCATGCTGGCTGGGGGGCTGATGGGAATTGTAGTCCAAGAACATTTGGAGGACCACAAGTTTCTCATCACCAGTATAGAGGACTGGTAAACAAAGCTACAAGCTATGGAGACCCCTTCCTTTTTCTTTAAGGAAGTTCCAAGAGAATTTACTATCAACAGTAATCAAGGAGGTTCTTGTTGCAATGCTGAAGAGGAAGTTAGCAGACGCTTAGTGTGGCTCATTTTGAAGCCTTACCAAAGTTCTTATTGGAAGAAACAGAAATGCTCCGACTCTCTGCTTTCTGTCTGGGAACCAAAATACATACTCCACACAGACATCTAGGGGTAGACAGTCCATTGCATAGCAAAGGATAGATGGAAGGAAAACATCTTATGGGTTGGGTTGGCACACAGCTATAGAAAGAAACATCCCATATTGTTATTTGCACTGAACTTTTATC